ACCGAGAAAGTTGACGAGATAGATTCCGTGCCACCCGTGCCTCCTCCCCATCGTGAAGGGGTTAAAGTGGGACGGAGGAAGAAATTCGTCCCGGGCGCACTGCCCTCACTACCATCCGAGAGGATTTTGCTCGGTCAAGGCGTGGAGAAGCCTCCGAATAAGGCGTTGTTTGCGGGTGCAACTCCAAATGGCCCTCGACCTCTAAATGCAGAGGATGCAAGTACTCCGTCCCATAAACTTAGGAAAACAAGGCGTGACAAGAACCTAACACCCGCGACGAGCTCTCGGCACGCAAGCATGTCGACCGGGGCACGAGACATTCATCGGGAGGAACATCGTAATAACGACGCAGTTCCATATTCAGAAGAAGATTATGCACGCCCCCCGCCCTTCGATTCCTCATCGGTTTCGAAACGGAACCAACCAGGCCGAAAACAAGGTCTTACTGACGACAACCAGCCTCCCTCCAACGCACAACCCATCCCCAAACCCAACCACCCACCCCGCCGTCGCCGGTCCCCGACGACTTTTCCAAGCCAAAACCACATCCGCGACCATACTTCCGATATACCTACAAACAGCACAGCTGGCAGCAGCATAAAGTGCCCCCAACCACGTCGCGGCGGCAGCGGAGCTGCCATGCGAAATGACCACCAGGACGACGACGGTGACGATGACATCCCGCCCGTCCCACCGCTACCAGCCAATTTCATCGCTATGTCTGGGGCCAGTGTACGGAGCCGGGGGCAGCTGGAGGTACAACAAGAGGAGCAGGTGTGCGCGCAGAACCAGCAGCAGCAGAAGAAACAGCAACAGAAACCGCAGGAGTTCGACTGGCCGGAGGACTTTTTGTGAATATTCGTCCTTTTTTTCTTTTCTTTTTTTTTCCTTGTTCTTGGTGGAAATTTTCTGGGTTTCCTTGGGGAGTGGAACTGAGAAAATGCGTTGTTAGGCGACGGAGGCAATATAGTAGAAACTGGGAGAGAGCTAGAAGTACAGAGGATGGCTGTATGATGGATTAGGACGGAGTTATGCTTTGGGTTCTGGGTTTCTAGGACTTCTGGTGCTTTTCTTGCCATGGGATGGGGTGATTGGGGTTATGGAAGGGTTTTGCACTGTACTTTTTGCTTTGTTTTCTGATACCTACCTATTGTACGCGGCGATTTATGTGAATGCTCTTGATTGCTTTATTTTGCATTTGGGGGTTTTATTTTAAATCTTGTCGATTTGGAAGTTTTGGGGAAATTATTCTCGGTCTGATGTTTTTTGTGGGAAAGGTTGCGAGATGCCTGGGTAATTTGTGAACTCGCCTGCAACTTGGATTTACACATCTTCAGAAGATGAGAGAACATATCAGTTTCCACATTGCGCTTCTGTTAGTTTTCCTTCTCATTTCTCCTACGTCTCCAATGTTCTTTTCTGTTTAAACTGACTGGTGCGGATTTTGAGCATTGTTGTTCTGATTTGATTCCTTTTCACTCAAAGATCCATCCATCGCTGGTTGTTTTTGTATTTGTGGGATAATTTGAATCATAGGTTCAATGATCGATGAGAATTTTGTTCGTATGTTTTACTCAAAACACTGCTTTGACTCTCCAATGGGGGGATTCCTTCTCCTCCAGGCAATTATTATGGTGGAAGCAAGTCCAAAAAAAAAACTGATAGGATTGATAGGTCGAATATTAACTCGATGAAATACTGAGCCTTCATGCCGTGTGATATTTATTGGAAATCTTCGCGAAGACATCAAGACATCAACAACCTCTCTCCAAATACCCAACCGGGCGTCCGGCTGATTGATTGGATTTTTCGGTAGAATTCACCAGCTACAGAAACTAGTACCTACCTACCAAGTTCGGCCCGAGTAAAAATAACAGTACAAAACAACCCATCAAATCAACGGATATAATAAAGTTTAACATGCCGGCAATCACAAATACCATCGAAATTCCTCCGATGACGGGCCATCCCTTAGATTCTTCGTCGACACATCCCTCGCTTTGATGGTGACTCCCGCTCGACGATCTCGGCGTTTGTTATCCCACAACATATAAAGCCCCAGGCAGCCCACGAGAGTCGCACCCGCGGCCCCGAATGATGCAGTTGTGATCAACGCAGGCTCATACTTGGGCTTGTCCTTGGCTCGGAAGATGTTGCTACTGACGATTCCCATCACGTTGGCCAGCGGGACTCCGACAGAGGTAAGCATTATGCGGCGGCCTTCGTGCGCGATGTTGTTGTTGTACCATGTACTGAGGAGCACGGAAGGGGCAGAGGTACCCCATGTCATCATGAAGCAGGCGTAATATGCTAGCTTCAGCTGGGCGTTCACGTCATCGATTGCAGCATAGATGATAAAGCCAGTGAATGTAAGAACGAAGCCAAGGACAATGAAAGGGAAGCGGATGCGGGCCCAGTCGGATGAAAACGCAAGGATAAGAAGCATCACGGCGCCCGTGCAATTGGGTGCGACGGTGTACAGGTTCGTTTTCACAGTGGTGTAGCCCAGGCGTTGAATGATTTGGGGCATGAATAGGGCGACAGATTGAATGGGAATGCCGAGACACATCTCGACGCCGAGGAAAGCATATGAGATCGGTTGCTTGAAGACGAGGATTGCGTCGCGGAAGTTGAATTTCTCGTCGACGACGGAACTGGAATCTACTTGGATGCGGTGGAAGGCCAAGGCTTTCTCCTGCTCGGTGAGGAATTTCGCTTGGGCGGCGCTCAGGGGCAGGTACCAGTATGCGAAGACTGCAAAGGTGACGCTAGCGGCGCCTTCAATAAGGAAGAGATAGCGCCAGCCCTCCAGCGAGGTATTTTCAATTCTAAAGACAGCAAAGGAGAGAAGGCCCGAGAAAGCATTGGCAATGTTGGACGCCGCGTAGAAAATGGCGAGGCGGCGGGCAAGCTCGCCACGTCGATAGAAAGTTGTGAGATAGTAGATTACCAGCGGGAAGAAACCGGATTCCGCCATCCCAAGGAACCAGCGCAGGGCGAACATGCCGCCGAAGTTCTTAGTGGCGGCGGAGAGAAGAGTCATTGAGCCAAAAACGAACATAAGAATAGGTAAAACGCGGGCAGGGTTGTATTTTTTGCCCAGCATAGACACTGGTGGCGCGAAAAGCACATAGGGAACGAAAAAAATGGAGAGGAGAAGGTTGTATTGGCCGTCTTTGAAGTTGAGATCTATTCCCCCTTGCCGTTAGACCTGGTGCAAGGGAGCCCACAAAGTGGCAGATAATGCTTTCCCTTACCTTTGCTCAACCCATCTGTCTGGGCATTACCCACGTTGCCTTTATCCAGTGCATTGAATAAATCTAGAAAACTGCCGTCAGCTCTGGTCGGTTCGTGGATGCTGCATATCCGGATGGGGATCCTGGTGTCTGTGTTCACTTACACATTATAGCCAAAACTGGCATCAAGCGGACATCAAATTTCCTGCATAGCGCTCGCTCTGCTTTGTGGTCCGTGATGCGAGCAACATTATCATCAAATTTCCCTTCACCCTGTAATGAGTTCCTCTCTAGGTTGCCCGCAGACTCGTAAGTCAACTCATTTTTTGAAATATCATCGCTGACCACCGGTGTTGGTTTCTCCGAAGCCATGCCGGTAAGATCCCGGATGGGCTTTCTTGATGGCAGATGAACGGTAAGCTTTTTGAATATATACCGGTGCCCGGTTCAGATGATGTTAATTGCCAGTGGTGGACTAAGAGAAAGACGGGGAGTAATGCCAGAGGAATCAACACCTCTGCTTCGCAAGGATATAAATGGAAGGACCGTCACAAACACCCACTCACACATACAAGGGCCACGAGGGACGAAAAGGGAGGAAAAACTGGGGACTTTATATACGCGATCTTTAATGAATTCACCCTAGTTAAGATCTTCCAAGATCCTGTTCACCGATACAAAGGTCGAAGAGAGGAGATACACCATCCCAGGCTGTCCAATGGTGTCAGACAGAAGCACACGAGGGGGATAAGCCAGCAAGTCTGTTTCTCCCGCCATTAGATGGTTGGCGACATGGCTGACGGGCGGAAACTATTCCTCCGTGAGATACAGTTTGATTTCGGATCCTGAAGACTAAAGCTAGTTGATAGAGCTATCACGGCGGGCGTGGGGGTTAGCTGTTGTCCTCGAGGCCGTCAAGCGCCTAGATTACACTTGTACGCAGCGATTCTTTGATTTCCCCGCAGCCGAGGATACAAACAACTAACTGGCGGCCATGATGCTCTGGGGGTGAGACTTCTGTGGGGAACAGCTGCTCGGCGACGAGTTATTATTGCAACAAGATACCCAGAAGCCGAAGTCTCTAGCTAACGGTGTGATTGGCACGCAGGGCTTCTAGCGGTTTTCTGAGACGGCGGGACAAGCAGACTAGGAGACTAGGAGGCGACTCCGCATTTTCGGCGTATTCGCCGAGGGATTCTCCTGGTGTCTGGAGGCGCCGTTGGTGGATTGTTCCCTGGCGGCCAAGAATGCTCGGCGGAATGAGAATGAAACGAGATGGCCCAACATCATCACGTAACGTTACGAGAAAGAGGCCCGAATAAGGCGTTTGCTTGCATTCGTTCGTGAATCATGACCTTGCGAGAACAACATCAATGGGCGAAGATATCTTTCTAAACCTTGTCTCCGGCTCTCCGAACTAATCCTCATGGTTGCTCCTTAAACGATGCAAGCAGCTGCAGCGAGTTGTTAGGAAGTAAACATTAAAACAAAGCAAAATAAACAAATAAAAGTAAATAGATCAAATAAACGAAAAAAAAATAAAACAAATACAAGTATCCGCAGACTTACGATGGAGCAGTAGCTATCAATGATTACGAGTAATTATATAACATATACAGAGCGCAACTAACTACACTGCCGATCTACCACGGCTTTCTACCACTCTGCGGATTCTTAGGCTGTCAGTGGAACAATTAACTTGATCTTTCTAAGGACATGGAAAATTGCCACTATTTTTATTATAATCGTTAGGCAAGTAGGTGTGCGCTGTTGAGCTGCGGTGTTGGCTATGAATAGTATATATGGCCATCTCGAATTGAATGGCAAGCATTCTGCATTCATTTAATGCTACCTAATTGAGAGGGGAAAAAAAAAAAAACCTCATGATATGTATGCAAATCATGTTTCATTTTGTTAGGTGGACAAGGATCCCTCGTCAATCCCCATCTTATGGCTGGGGAGAGTGTCAGCTACGGATTACTATCTACACCGCTTCGATGTACGGTATGGGAAAGGACCAGCGAAGCAAATTCCAGGGAAAGTCTTGATTTTGTCGTTTTGGTTTCTAATTCTCGAGATCTGGCGATGTTATAGATGCTACCGCTGGCCATCAGGCACGGGATATGCAACGGAGTGGCCATGCTGGAAAAAGCAATAACTACGCCAATGTCCTTAGTTCGCCAGCCTCATCAGTCCAAGACGCTCCAAAAACAAGCTCCCCCAAACCTTAACAGAACAGTTGGCTTGGTTCGGATATAAATAACTAACTATAGGTGGAGAGAGAAACAAGAGTGCAATGTCTTCGTACTTGTGCGATGAGCGAAAATAATTGCGCAATAGTTATAGGAACTTTTTACAGCCCTCAACCATATAGGTGATAGCGTCTCTGCCGGCCTGCAGGACTCCATCCATTGCAAGGAACGGATGGGGCATCCCCTCCATAACATGCAAGTCAACGTGAATCCCGGATTTTATCAATTTCTCCGCGTACTTCTCTCCTTCGCTCCTTAACACATCAAGCTCTCCCACCATCATGATTGCGGGAGGTACACTAGACCAAGTGGGTGACTCGTCCGCGTAAAACAATGGACTGGCTTCAGGGTTTGCCCAGTCTGATTCTCGGGGCAGATAGTGTCGTCTATACCAAAGCATTTTCGCAGCAGGGAGAGCAGGGATGTGTTCATTGTCACAGTAGGAGATGTTGTTACTGACATCAGCTGTGTTGTCCATTACCGGGACACTGAGTAGCTGTACTTTTAGAGGCGAAAAATTCCGCGCCGCACATCGATGTGTCATGACGGCTGCAAGGTTGCCGCCTGCACTCGAGCCTCCCACACCGATGCGCGAGATGTCAAGGTTGAGACGCGTGCGGCCTTCTGATAAGGCCCAAAGGACGGCCTCCCAGCAATCGTGTACCGCCGCTGGGAATGGGTTTTCCGGCGCGAGTCTGGTGAGTTGGATTAGTAAATCAATACTAACTATCTCTTGGGATAGAAATGAAAGTTGGAATGAAACAAATAAACGAACCTGTAATCAACGGTAATAACCACACACTCAGCCCTGGAGCAAATATTCGTACAGACGACATTCTCCGTATCGATATTCCCGAGCACCCACCCGCCCCCGTGAAAATAAATAAGCACTGGCCACCCGCCCGCCGGCGCTTTCTCCGCGATTGGAGTGAAGCATCGCAAATTCACATCTAGACCATCACTCTCCTTCCGTTTAATAGAGATATCTTCTTGCTTACCCACAGGTAACAATGGCCCCGCGCCTGGTATGAGGACCCCAGATGTGCGCGATGCGGCAACGGGTTGGAGATGTACCTGCTCCTGATTAATGATGTGTTTGTTGTAGAAGGACACATATTCTGGATGTATTTTTGAAGCGACGGACTCGTGCAGCGGGTATGGCGGTGACATGGTGGCGCGAGGATGATTTCTCCTGCTTCGCTTTCGAATTTTCTCGCAATTATCTTTTTTTGCTCGCGGAGTTATTTGGAATATTCTTGCGTTGTCGGTGGGAGGCTACGACGTGATTGTCTCAGTGTATTAAAGCCAATTTTTCCAACCTCGGGCCGCTGATAGGAGTTGTTGTGGAACCCTCTGCTGCCCCCAAATGTCATATCATGGGAGTGAATCTTTGACCCCGCGTTCGATCTCAATCTGCAGGTGTCGAACATCTCCTAGCCGCCAAAGCGGGGCCTAGCTGATTCACAAGCGCCACCGCGAATTATTGCCCTGCAGCATCAGGATGTTCAGCCCAAATCGGCAGAGACCCCCAATGTTGGAATTCAACGTCCATACTCCCAAGTGTGGGGGCACGTTTCTGGAGACTCGGAGAGAAATGTCATCTTCACCCCAATTACCGGAGGATTGGATCGGTCCCACGGAAAACGATGGGTGGGATGCGAGACAGGATGTGGGGGTATGTGCCTTTTCGAAGAACGTGAATTGCTTTTTGCAAGATGCCGTTCGCTCACTTTCTCGTTGCGCTGTCGAGGATTGTGATTATCCCGGGGTAGGGCTAAATTCCCAATTTGGTATGTGGACCAGCATCATCATCATCATATCTCATATAAACAAAAATTTCCCAATTGGATGTCAATTGAACTAATAGCTTTAGCACACTTTCTCCTTGAATAGTGCTTTCCTACTTTATTCGTATTTTCTTGCGATGATTTTTCAACGCGGCTGGAGGAGGAGGCAGCGTTGCTCAGTCCAATATTTTAAGCTCCAATATTCAATGACAACATGATACGGAGAAATTCCGAACTAGCTGCCGGCATCTGGAAGCTGTGGCGAGGAATTGATGCTTCAAGCCAGGGAATGGTCTAAAAAATAACCTGCTTTAATTCTCTTCACCCAATGCATTCCTAACGTCGTATCGCACCGGTTCTCCTTTCATGAGTTCAAGTTGGCAAGTATCCGGTTACATTGCTATTTTTTTATACTAGTATCAATGCATTGATTGGAGGAGCGCGGCCCGTTCATCAAGCTGGCTCAGACCGATGCTGTATCGCTCGCCTTAGAAGCCTGCCTAGATGCCCCACTTCCATGAAGATCAGCCATGGCTTGTTGGACGCTCCAGAGGAACTGCATGAAAATAGTACGACCTGTCAGCTTCAACCCTCACGAATTCCCGAAAAACGTTGTGACACTTTGCAAAACAAATTCGAGCTCTCTTCTACGATTTCGCCTTGCTTATCTTTTTGAAAACGCTGCAGCTATGAAGCTAAAGAAAGTTTTATCAGCACCAAAAAAGGGGGTCCAGTGATAGCGTGAAAACTTCGAGGAGATCGTCGAAAGTTCTCACACGTCGCACTGAACATGTACCATAAAGACTGGGCGAAGTGTCTCAGTAACGGTATTTTTTTTCCCCTGGATAGGATAAATCATACAAAAATTGGACTGGCCAATAATCCTCACAACAGTGGTGCAAGTTGAGTTTCTCCATCCCCACAAATAACCAAAATTCCGTGTCAGTTGCCGGCGCGTCCGGTCTTCCACCTCCTAGATCCCTTGCTGGACATAGTTGGCGAAGCTTCATACTTCCGAGTCCATATGGATCAGTTGGGTCAGCCCGACACGTGTTCAGTTATCCAGGAGCAGAGCTTCTCTCCTGAAAGGATGCGTTGGGTAAGTGGGATGTGTGGGATGCGTGGGGGTACCCGTTATTTTTCGACTTGGGAACTCCTGCCTGAAGTCAATTTGGGCCCCATTGCTCCATACTTCGAAAATAAGCGAGCGACAAGCGGAGGGTAAGTTGACGAGGAGCCTTATGCCCCTGGCCATTGCTCGGAGAAGGGGACGAATTCTGAGTGAGTTAAGCAGGACCGATCGGATAGCGGGCGATGCTTGGTTGACACCCATTGATTCATTCAGGGCAATATGGATAAAACCAAGCATTGGCTGAAGCTAACGATATTGAAATTTACACTCTTAAGAGAGAAAGCTTCCAATGACAAAAGCGAATGTTATTTTATGCCGCCTTGTGAGTTATGCTACCTCGCTTTACCGTGATGTATTTATTAAAACTTCAAGGAAGCTCAAAAAAAAAAAAATAGAAAAAAAAATAGCTACAAAGCAACAGAGAAGGAGACCGTTTATAACGAACGCTCATACTCAACGAGTTCGCTAAACTCCTTTGTATAGGCTGCTGCCATCGCATCAGTCGGCCTGGGCAGGGGCTTGCGAGCGAATCCCCCGTATCCCAAGTGTGACTCCATGGCAGATTTAATCCCTACCACACCCCCCTGAATAGCCGCCCAATCGCCACGGGCCAAAATTTCCTGAGCACTACGAGCCTCCTTGAGCTTTCCCTGATAATATAGATCCATTACCCGTACGCAAGTCTTGGGCGCAATATTGGCGATCCCCCCAATAATCCCTGATCCACCACTGATGAGAGTTTGTATCGTAAAGTCTCCTGAACCACCAAGGCACAGGAACGGAGCTGGGACTGAGGCTTTGCTGTCCTGGGCAGCGGCGACGCGGGTTAATTTCCCCGTGTTTCCGCAGGTAAATTTACAGCCCACAATATTTGGGTGTTTGCTCAATGCGATGATCGTGTCTGAGTCCAGATCTAGACCTGAAACGGCAGCGGGATAGTTATATATGACAATCGGGAGCGGAGATGCATCAGCTACGTCGCGGAAGAACTGAAGAATCGAATCTGATAAAAGGAGTGCTTTGTAGTAAGATGCAGCAAGGACGAGGGCGTAGTCAGCACCGGCTGCATATGCCTGGTGACAAAGCTTGATAGTTTCCCGAGTAGACTGTGCACTGCAGCCAACGATGAGGGGCATGTTGGGAAACCCGGAGCTATCTAGCGCCTTGCGAGTGGTTTCAATGGCCGCAATGCGTTCTTCGTTTGATAGATGTACTGCTTCGCCGTTCGAGCCGTGGACGGCCAGGCCGGTCACGCCAGCTTGTGCTAACCACACGGCATGTTTGCTGATTGTCTGGGTATCGAGATTCTCTGTTCCTTTTTCAAAAAAGCATATAGTTGGAACGTATACACCTGGTTTTAGCGGGCGGCGGGGTCGGTCGCTGCTGCCATTTTCGCTGACGTCCTTATGAGCTGTGGACATTGGAGACATGTTGGCAATCAAGGTGGAAAGGGTTTTTCAATCGTTTTGTGATGTCTTTTCTTCCTTTTTTAAAGAAGAGGTCGAGCTTGGGGTTTGAGCTTTGAAAGTACTCTTTCGGGTGGAGGGGTGCTTTATGTGACGACGAAGATACAACGAGAATGTGGGCTGAAAGTTTGAAAGCCCACAGCTAATATTGGCTGTTCTGAAGGAAAACGGGAAAGCAGGAGCTAACAGCAGAAATTCCAGAGAAGATCTGCCCAAAAAACAGGCGGAGTGAAAAGATGGATTGATCAAGGGGGGTCATTCATCACGAGCCATTATTCCTCAGGGGTTCAATAGTTAATGAATTTTGGAGAATGAAACCGGGCCACTCAGCTCGATTGAGCCCCCCAAAATCCACCTCATGATGACCCAAAATTATGTAAATAGGGAAAATGCCCGGCAGTGACCAATTTCACGACTGCAAGCAGAGGTGACCCCCACGCTGTAAAAGGATGCTTGCTGGTGGGAAGCCAGAGCCCACATCGACGGGAGGGGAGTTCCAAGGACCATTTTGTGGCTGAACCTCCCCGGTTAGTGAGAAACCTCGTATGGACCATCACGCGAGAGACCCAGCAAGTTGGGCGACAGTGCTGAATTGTCTTGCTGCAATGGCGGTAATTGCGGGGAAATGGGGGTGGCGGAGGTGTTGGGTTCACACTAGTCTTTGAAATGGTGCAGCCTCAGAGCATGAATATCCCTTGGGCAAAGCGGTGGGATGCTGCATCATGAGGCTGCGGGGAGAGCGATGCATGACCTGCTGCATCCTGCTGTGGTGATATTCAGGTGAAAACTGCTTGACGGTGCCAAACCCATCCATGGGGAGATGTGAAAGATGAAAACAAACTCCTTCAGAAGTATTTAGCCTCTCGGCGAATTCTTTGCTTTCTGTTTGTTATCCGTGAAAGCTGATTGATTGATTCATATGTTTGCAATTTTGGGGGATTGAAGCTAGTTAATAGGTCCCTCCAGCATTTGAATGCGCTTGAAGACTGGAGAGTGCCCTCGAACCCCTCCTAATGGAGAGATGATAGAACGAATTTATACATAAAATACTCGAAAAAGCTAGCTAGGTACAGAGTGCAGATATGTTGGTAACTATGCCCAATCAAACATGTGGTCGTGTGATCTCATATTTCTTTTTTGATATTTCCTTTCCTTTTTTCCTCTTTTTCTTCGGTGTCGCTAGATGGCTTGGAAGGAGCAAAGACTTCTCGACGAAAGGAAAGCATCGCAGTTCAAATGAAGGCAGAACACTCTATTTCAACGTCCGTACCCAAGGGGAGTGCTTTCACAGCAACGCAGGTTCGCACCTGGACAGTTTCATCAGTAAAACCACACAAATAGTGGCCTCGAGACTCACAACAAGACGAGGACACTTACCGGCTTAGGTTCTTGGCTCAGGAACTGGCCATATATTTCATTCATGGCCGCAAAGTCGTCCATATTGGCAAGGAAGACGTTGACCTTGATAGCCTTCTCCAAGCTTGAGCCGGCTTTCTCCAATACAGCGCTCAGGTTGCGGAATATTTGGGCCTGCAAGATCACTGTTAGCGGAACTAACCTCGCGCGTGTAGCTGTTGCGAGTGGCCATGTTTTTTTTGCTTTTTCTTTGCTTTTTCTTTCTTTTTAAATAGTAGAGAGCAAGCAGCATACTGTTCGATCCTGAACTGTTCCCTCAACCAGTTTGCCAGTGGCCGGATCCATCCCCACCTGGCCCGAGCAGTATACAATTCCGTTGTAAACGATTCCCTGGGACAACACCGGGATAGGCGCGGGGGCCTTGTCGGTCAGGACAACCTGCTTTGCGGATGCCATATTTGCTTTGAACGAACCACGGGAGAATGAATGATCGGCTTATGAATTGCAACGGTTATCAAGAGCAATGGCGGGTGAAAACAGTCCCTTTCTTAAGAACTTGAAGCATCCGCTCACGAGTCGATGTGATGTGGAAAATTGGCATCAATGTGCCCCTCCTCGGCAATGGAGGTTGTTTGGGCGAAGTGGGATATCTGGCCCTCCATCCCACGCAGGGGAGGGAGCGTGGGGGTTTGCCCGCGAGTCCCTGTCACATACAAACTTAGCGAGACGGCGATATGACGACAGGATATGCATGCGACGTTGATTTGGTTTGGAGCAGAAATGTGGGAGCTTCCTTGGTCCTTAATCGTTCCCAGAAGGAGGAAGTTCTGACTGCAAACCTCCCGGTGCGGGGCATTTGTTGGACGTGCTGGACCTGAGCTTTAGTTGAATTCCCTCTGAAAAACATAACTGCCAGGTCCAGGTCCCACCAGTCTCCCAGTACAATACCGATTCACCCTTCTTGTAGGCTATACATAACACAAAGCAAGACATCGACAATAACTCCTCACAATGTCCGGTGTGACCAATTACCCCAATGGTTCGCGCGAGGTCCTCAAGGCCCAGTATGTTGGGCGGATGCTTCGCGATGTTGACGGCCCAGCTGCGATTATAGACGTGGCTGTTGCACGCAAGAATTGCCAACTGATGCTCGATGCAGCAGATGCCTTGGGGGTCTTTTTCCGCTCTCATGTTAAGACTCACAAGGTACTAGGAGTTCTGATCATTCTTCTATTCACTTAATACTTGCCCTCTACGTCCCATGTTGGACTTTGGCTTTTACGCAGGATTACAGTACATATTATATTTGTGAATGTGGGTAGCTAATATTTACTCCTAGACAACAGAGCTCACGAAGTTCCAAGTAGGGGAGCAGAGCAATCCGGTTCGATTGGTAGTTTCGACTCTCGCAGAAGCTGAGCAGCTACAGCCGTACCTCGAAGAATGCAAGGCCAATGGGAGGTCTATAGACGTAAGACACTGTTCCATGATTTTATATAGAATTTCAACAATCAAATATTAATGCCTGCCTAATAGCTCATTTATGGCCTGCCTGTGCAACCGTCGAGCTTCAAACGGCTTACGGCGCTGGGTAAATCGCTAGGAACTGCGAGTATATCCGTGCTTGTGGATAATCCAGATATTATCCCCTTCCTTTCTCGATACCGAGAGACCACATCAGACAAACTTGGTGTCTTTATCAAGCTTGATACTGGCAATAATAGAGCCGGTATTCTGCCGGAGTCCCAGCAATTTAAAGACCTCGTTACAGCAGTCCATGCAGCCGAGTATGATGACTCTATCGGAATATCACTACGCGGGTTTTACAGCCATTTAGGCCACAGTTATAGTTCGGATAGCACGAATGAAGCCATGGATTATCTGGCGCAGGAGGTCGAACGATGTGGGATCGCTGCCGCCTATGCCTCGACAGTGGGCAAATATTCAGAGCGCCGCTTTCTAGTTTCTGTTGGGGCGACCCCAACCACCACAGCGGCTCAGAATCTCACCTCCCCTGATACAGTTGACCCTACGGTTAAAAGGGTCAAGGAGTTATTTGATCGCTCGAAGGAATCCTACGACATCGAACTACATGCCGGCGCCTATGTAACGCTGGATATGCAACAGCTAGCAGCACACGCCCGGCCAACCTCGTCACATCTTTCTTTCAACGACATAGCCTTGACCGTCCTGGCAGAGGTCGGAAGTCTATACCCCCACAGAGAAAAGCCGGAAGCACTTGCCGCATGCGGGAGCCTATGTCTCGGTCGAGAAGCGTGTCGAAATTACCCTGGCTGGGGAGTCGTCACGCCCTGGCTGGAAGGTGGTGAGGGAATAAGGACGGCGGAAACCGGATGGTATGATCCCGAAGGAGATCGAAAGGGGTGGATTATGGATCGGATTAGCCAGGAACATGGGATTCTTGCGTGGCATGGTCCACGAGATAAGGTTCGGCCGCTGAAAATCGGAGAGAAAATTCGGATTTGGCCCAATCACTGTTGTATTTGTATAGCTGGGTTTAGCTATGTGTTGGTGGTGGATTCGAGCCTGGAAGGCGCCGAAAGGGATAGAGTGCAAGATGTGTGGTTCAGTTGGCGAGGATGGTAGACGGTGAGGACGGGTGCCGAGATGCAAGCATAAACTAAACTACTGTTTTTTCTTTTCTGGTCCTTATCGGTTTCTGACAAAGAATTGATATAAATGGTGACCTTGGAAAGCGAAGATAGATACCTTTTTCTTCTGTAACTCTCACTACGATACGATATTTTGCTGTTAGTTCACCATCTTTGAAATTAAGGAACTTCAAGCTCAACCCATCTCCCTTTCGTATCCAAAATTGAGCGGTTATATGATGGGAAAATCCAGACCTCCATCTTCGAGTGCTCTTGAACAAACTGTAGATGGGAAAACCCCACCAGGATCGCTGGAATTCCAAGGGACAGCTCGCATTCCCAGATTTACTTATATTCAAGCCGCAGTAATCGAGCAGTAGTGTTAGGATATTAGCAAAGACCTTTTGCGTCTGTTCTACAGTACTAGTACTATTCAGACTATCCAACTCCATGAAGCTCCCGATTTGGAGGTGATGTGAAGGAGGGTGAAGTAAACATACGCAATATCCGAGCTTCACTTCCTCAAATTTTCGGCAGAGATTCTTAATTGATTAATAATTGATTAATATTGTTTCTCAGGAGTAGCTGTTCCGGGCAGAAATACCATATAGAGGCGGGTGTGACAGCTTTTTTTTTTTTTCACCTTGCAAATGTAAAGGAGGCATTTGGCATATTGATATGATGGTGCTGTAAATCGCGGCACCCGAAGGACCGTCCCTGAAGAAGGACTAGCTTATAAGATATATATAATGGCATGCTCCTCTATCTCGCAGGTATTTAGACAGATCTATCTTAGTTTGCAATATGGAATTTTCATCGATCTCATCTTGGTGCGATGCAAATGGGATATATTAGGCGCTGATGAAATTTTCAAAATTGGCTGTTTAAGCGCTAATCCTGCGAGCGCGGCTAGAGTAATATACTCGTATAAAATCAGAAATATTTCCTGGGTGGAAGGATGGAAAACCCAAGGAAACTCATAACTTCAAGCCTTAGGTAGGTTTGATCCGCTCGATCCCTGAGAGGACTAAATACTAGTACTATTTTATTGACAATGGACATTAATGGCTCTTTGTCGGAACTGGATAAAGTCCGAAGATTGACCCAAATACTGAATATCGATAAAATGATCGATAGAATGATCAGTAGGTTCTCCCTTTCCTTTTAGAAGAACCATGCCTCCTAGCGCTTGATCTACCATCTCAGTATTTGAAGCAGCTACCTTGGTTAACGCTGCATCTATCTTCTTCTTGATATCTTCGTTCTTGAGTGCCTCATCCACCTTCTTACGTCGCTGCTCATTCTCCTTCCACCCTTCTGGTTTCTGGCTTGGGTTGAGATAATAGCATTTGACCCAGGGATGCTTTGCACCACAAACGCAGGTTCTCGATCTTGGTTGTCCTGCTTGCCGGCCATTTAAGGTAGCAAGGTTGGACACAAGCAGTCCTGGCTTGCTGTATCCCTTCTTGCGATATTCGGATCGGAAATCATTGACCACATCTGCGAAGGAGAAGTTCTCCTTTCCTCCTATCTCAACTTCCCTCTTTCGGACGGTAGCGTACGGATTATCGATAGGTACATTGGCATAGAAGAAATCCTCCCATATATCAAAGCTGCCATCCATACCAGAGTGCTTGATTTCTGTTTCAATCAGGATCCAGGCATCTAACCACTGATCTAGGTTCTGTTTAGGCACTTTTCGCAAGCTCTGATACTTCCTCCATACCTCGTACTGGTGGTCCGCAGTTCTAGGTGATAACCTCTTCTTAAGAGCAATTAGAATATCCTTGACATCCATGTAATCATTTCCAGAAGTTGCTACTTCTAGCTCACTAAATGCCACTGTTCTGAAGATCTCCTGCCTGATCTTGCTAACACCTTCGAGCTTGTCCCGATAGATGTTGTAATCATTGTTGTACTTGGCATTCTCCATCTCCCATCTAATCCTTGCTTCCATGGTGTGCTCAGTAGGGAGCTCTGGGGGAATAGGTTCAGGTATTTCGCTCATTCTATTGGAGCTTTCCTCACTAACAAGATCCAGTACTTGAAGGTCAGTGGCAAGATCTAGTATCATCTTGTACCATAAGCTCCAGCTCCTAGAAGAATCCAGAAAGAGTGGTGCTCTTGATGAATAATTTTCTGCTGACATCTTGGTTGCTGTTACACAGATAAAAACCGATATAGAATCGAATGGATATAATCGATATAGTTCGACCGCTATCTCTCGCCGATACGTAGGTCGATGAGGAACGGATAGATATAGATAGTGCCGCAATCGTCCCTGATGAGGAGGTCGGTGAGGTCGGATAGATGGATATAATTAGATAGATATCTCGCCGATAGGGAAGTCGGTGAGGATAAATAGATATAGAAATCTTTGCCGATAAGGAGGTCGGTATGGATAGATATCAATATAATTGGATAGACATATTAGAGATATCAAGATAGCGAGAGGTCGCTAACCCGGGCTCATAACTGTCGGAACTGGAGAAAGTCCGAATTGTAAAATCAAAGATTTGGTAGGTTCTATTAGCAAGGATTCTATAGCAACTTGGAACCTGGAATGTCTCACTATATGAAACCAAGCAATGCCCCACTGAATCTCAGTGCTATCTCAGGCATATAATCAAGCATGACCTTCCCTATAAATACTACCTATTTATCATGTAGTTATTGGAGTTAGAATAAGCAATTCAATTTATTTTATCGATATTCAGTATTTGGGGCAATATTCGGACTTATTCAGTTCCGACAAAAGGTCACGAAGGGCTCGGCTCGGTTCTATGTGCTCAGAATTGCGGGGAAAGCCATCAACGCAATGATAGTTTTGAAACGATGATATGCCGACGCGCTCCAGGGGTGGACCCCTTCGTTCTGTCATTATTTTACAGCAAAAAAATTGTTCCAAGGATATTTTCTCGTTCCTAGCTTCAATCTTATCTAGGCTGAGGGCCGGAGAACAAACATTAGAGAGACATGTCACCCAATCAAAAGCAAATTCGATTACCATCTCACAATCTCAGGACAGCATGAATTTCGATCTTCCGGCAGACCTGGTTCCTTACATTTCCTCCCTTGATAAGTTTATTGAAAATGCAATTCTCCTTTACAGCATGCTGGGGATAACAATCGTTTCTTCGACTATCGACGAGAGCATGCAAGGACTGATTGGGATCATGGAGGATTGTCACGCAGAGAATGGGAAGAGTTACTAGGCTAGAGAAACGCGATGGAGATAACTTCTCTTGCAACAACTGTTGTTATTATCATGGAATATGGGTGTTTGATTTTGGGAATCTTTCACGTAGTTATAAGAATAATAAGAACCACCAACACCCACTTTGAAAAGCCCGGATTGATCAGAATCAATTGCGACGTTGCTATTTTCAATTTGCGTTAATAGAAACAAAAAGAACGAGAGGAGGCCACAATCAATCAATATTCACAACATGTATGGACGCAGACTGCAAATCTCAACCACCGGGCCAGATGCAAATGCAAATAAAGACTGGAAAATACGCCCCTTGCATAAAATTAACCGATATGCATGTCACAACTAACGTATTTCGTATGGGAAAATAAGAACGACCACCACCCTTATTGGGGAAACATGAATTCAACTCCGCATCGCCATGCTTACATCACTTGACCTTCATTGTTCCTCTTTCCATTATTACACTCTCCTATATCAAGTTAGAAGATCGCGGTTGCGTTTGCGTGGGAACCCACGCCACCTAATGAAAAAGAGCATTAGTCGAGAGTCATGCAAGCAGAAGAAAAATGCCATCAAATAGCATGTGGATCAATACACATAAAAAAGAAAAGGGGGGCGGGGGCGGGAAAGGGGGACGGGCAAATGGAAATTGACATACCTTTCACATTTGCAGGGGCACTAGTCACGAAGAAAAAATACCTTCCCTTCTCACGACACACCTTTGCCAGCGCCTCCAAATTCCACATCTCACCCAGCGGCATTCCCCACAGCGCTAGAATGTGTTCGTGTAGGTAGTACTCGGCAGTTGTGGGCCAGCGCTCGAACGCAGGCGCATCTCCAGCCACGGCCGCAAAATAACAGTCATGCAACCAGTCAAGCACGGCCTCCTCTTGCGCCACTCCCGCATACTCCTCCTCCTCCTCACCTGACTCAGTATTGTCATCGCCCGAACCATGTCCGCGCAGGGCGAGCCTTGTGCGCTCCTCGGGGCTGCGTTTGTAGTAAGCTTCCACAAACCCCTGAACGGATCAAGAGGAGATCGCCGACTTTGATGTCCCCGCCTTGTGATTCGGGGCGAATATCAATGCCCTGGGCTTTGCCGCATTTCTGGAGCTCTTCGAAGCTGATGGCGTGCGGAGAGTAAGGGTCGTAATCGATGCCGTTGGCCGTGGCATACGAGCGGTAGTCGAGGAGGACACCGCGGCCAGCGATGCCACGTTCGGCCCAGTGGTGAATACTGCAGTTGTGGTTGGCGCTAGGGCCCGAAATGTCATCTGGTTTGGTCTGGAGAGGTTATGTTAGGAGGAATGGCTTTGTTTGAACTCGATGATAGATCTTTCTTTTTGGATTTTTGCTTACCCCGTTGTAGAATGTTTGGGATGAGATGTGAGCAAACTGTGGGTGGTATCTATGTTAGTCGTGAAACGTGAGAAAAATATATACATTCTTCCAATTAATAACAGAACACACTTACGTGTCTGAAGCCGTCCCACTGGGTTCCACTCTGCGTGTTGAGTTGATAATTGTCGTCATAAGCAATTCCTGGAATCAGGGTCTTTATCGAGTGAACGAATTTCTCGCGACCAAATCCTGGCTGTTCTGGAACGTTCAACGGAAGGCTATGGTACGTCAATTCTTTCCGTTCGAAAAATTGAAAATGAATCTGATTCGAAAACGGGCAATTGCGTACTTGAGAGGAACAATCTCCCCTGTCTTGATCTCGTCGGCTGCAGCCTTGACTCGGGATGGAGTAAGCAGATTCAATCTACCAATCTGTTTGGCAAAAAACATGTCAGTCCTCCGAGATGGCATCTGGCAGATATGAAGACATGAATGTTCCATCAAAGAAACGCACTCCACGCACGTTGTCATTTTTGCCCCAAACCCAAGCTGCACCCTCAGGAGCATCTGGAATTTTTGGCAGGTCCTTGCGGAGAGGAAGTTTTGTATTCTCAGCGTCCCAGGGAAGCTCATCGGGAGACTTTGGACTGCTGAACATTCCAGCAAACTGGGCAGCTCGCTGTCTAATGGAAGACATTATGCTTAACCTCTAGCGGATCAAATCGTAGATATCCAACAGAGGGCGTACGGAGCAGGGGAAACGGGGGATGAGACCAGAACGCAGCATGGAGTGTGAAACAGAGGTAGCAACGTAGTGTTTCTCTCTAGCCTCTAGAGCTGCGCTGAAGACGGGAGATTATAGATTGTGGGAAAGAGAAGAAGTGAACTAGAGAAACATTGTTCCTGCACAAAAGCCCTCACAGCAAAGAGCGAAGAAACAACACCAACACCAACACCCGCAGCAACACGCAGCGAGAGACAACACGGACAACACACGCGGGAGCCGCCGGTATCACACACCGGGGGAACAAAGGCGCAGCTCCATCCTCCCCCGCACGCAGCGGATCCTTTGACAAGTAACAAGCGACAGCTTGCCTAGGTATCTCCAAATAGACTTTTTCCATCGAGCCACATACTCGAACACTATGCAGGGAAGAGGGAAGAACAGGACCACGAACTGCTGATGCACAACCGCAGAATGCCGTGCAAGAGCATGCGGATCAGCTGTGGTGGCTGAGCAACCAGGCAGATGGCCAGACTCACAGTTCACTAGCTGTTGAACTCCCCCGAACTTGTTGAGAGGAGGTTTGCTAACACCATTATTGTTTGGTGTCACCGACTAGCTTGGCTGCTCGGACAAAACGAACAAGCTATGAACTATGAGCTTGAAGCGATCCGAGGTCCGATCAAGCCGCTCAAGCTTGAAAGCAAGCGATTGAGGGACCGAAAATCGGCGTAGGCAAAGCGCACAATAATGGGACTCGAGTTTCCCAAAGGGGGAATTCTATGCAAAAGAAACTAGAAACATGCATGGCAGACCTGGAAATTTCCAAGCTATCCCAGCCGATCCTTCTCTAGGTTAAACTCACGGGTGCTAGTAAGTTAACATCTGATCTCGCGAGAAATTTCACTGACTTGGACACAGACGCTCATACGGAACACAGAGGCAACCCTTTTCTGGAAACGCCCCGTCGGTCGGGATATAAAACTTCGTGGTAGCACGATGCCGGTCGTGGAACGATCCAGCTCCTCTGCAGGTGTCAATTCGGAGCTTAAAATCGGAGTGTGGTCGTGTGTGGCGCAATGGACCCAAGATAAATGTCCGAATGCAGTTTGAGACGGTTGCTTGAGGCACAGTTTATATCCATCATCATATATCATACATAAAGCGTGCAGGACAATTAGATGGTATAGAACGCCTAAAGGACACAACGATAGAATCTGAACCTGGAACAAGTTGGATCAAAGCATAGAAACCCAAAAATCACACTACAATAACATCGCTCTTTCAAGTCGTCTAACCAACAATCAAAAGCCTACAAACATGCAGAATCAAAGCATCAAAACCATCTAACAGAACTCAATTCATTGTTTCCGTCTTCAGAAACGGCTGGTCCCTCCCTTCAGACCCAGATCCCTCCTCAATATGCGAGGAAAACCTCCCCACAACTACATCCGCGCTCTTCCTCGCGTCCTCATCCTCCAATATAATAGGCGGGCCCGTAAATGCCTTGCGCGCCCGCACAAAATACCAAACGACACTGATCGTCCCAAACCCAGCAAACACCACGCTCGCATAATTCATCGTCGACGGCGTCACAGGTAAGGAGATTGGCATGCAAAACAGCGCAATGGCCAGCGTAATCCACGATACCGCTATCATATTGATAGTGTAGCCGAACTTCCCCAACGAAAAGGGTGCGTTTCTCACATTCCGCCGCCCGCGGACGACGGAGACGAGAATCGGCACGCCATATGAGGCCGAGAGACAAATGGTTGCGACACCCGTGAAAGAGTTAAACGCCGCGCTGGAGCCAAAATATATCAGGCCCAGCAGGCAATCGACAAGGGTAGACAATATCAGACCCCAGAGCGGCACGTCGAAACGCCTACTAACTCTGCGCCACAGTCTGGAGCCAGGTATGGCGCCATCGCGCGCAAATGCGTACGTGCAGCGGCTCGCGGCAGTTAGGGCGCCAATTCCGGCAAAGAGTTGGATGCCCAGGATGAGAAAGAGCAGGCCAAAGCCACCGGCAGCGGAGCCGGTCACAGTCTTGAAGAGGAGGCCGATTGGTTGGCCGTTGGCGACTGCTCGCAGCAGCTCGACGGGCGGGAGCACAAAGAGGACTGGGAGTATGTATGATAGGCCGGTGATACCAGCTGCTACAACAGATAGCACAATGGCTTTAGGCACTTCGCGGTGCGGGTTTTGGGTCTCTTCGCACATTGCGGCTACCATCCCATAGCCAGTCAGGGTGTATGCAGCTTGGAGTAAGCCGACGAAGAAAGCCCAGCCGCTCGGCCTATTGGTGGGGATTAGTGACTGAGAAGGAACGTTTTAATCTTGCTATATAGGAGAGTTCAAGATGAGGTGGGGAGAGGGGATGCGTCGGAACGCTCAAGCGCTTACCAGCCGCTCGTCGAAGCGTCAAAGTGTCCAAACACGAAACTGGCATGGTTCCTTTGTTTCGCCAGGGACAATAAAGTAACCATAATGATCACAACACTTGCTGCGGTCCAGTATATACAGACTTTGTTGATAATGTCAAGATACTTCGCCCCAAATACATTTACCAAAGCACAAACCATCATCACAGCCCAGAACATCAAGATCGTCTGCCATTGATTGGGAACAAAATCCTCTCTCCACAGCGAAATTGCGCTGAGAATCAACTGGCCTCCTGAAAAATTGATGCTGAGCGTGACAGTCCAGTTGCCCACTAGGGTCAGCCAACCATCGATAAATGACATCAACGGCGCCCATTCTTTTGTAGACAACATTGCGCTCCAATAGTATACTCCGCCGGCTGTAGGATAAACTGAGCAAATTTCGGCCAGAGACGCCGCGATTGCGATGGAGATGAGCGTGACCAGCACCCAGCCCCAGAGGATTGTGACGCTGAGTCCATCTGTCAGGGTGACATAGAGTGTTGTACTTAGACCGAAAGGAGCGGCCATGATAGCAAAGGACCTGCGCAAGTAGTTCCATTCCCCTTTATTAGCTGATGTTGTCCAGCACAACAAACGATGCCATAGATCTGGGCCCATTCAAGAAACTCAGCAAATAAAAAGGGATAAAGCGATTAAAACATACAGTCCCAACACACTCATCATGCCCAGATGTCGCGGCAGCTCCCCTTTGTAACCCATTTTCTCCAGCGCAGCATCTGCCTTCGCATCTGCCGAGCCCCGTCCAAGAGGCTCTCCATGACCGGCTGGTCCATCCTCCATATCGGTAAGAGGCTAAAGGTAGTCACCGGAGTATAGAGAACCAAGGGGCAAAATAATGTCGCAGGAGATCCTCTGCATTCACAATGAGCAGGAATCTCGCCCTGACCGCAGGGGAAATGGCCTGGTTTTGGATGCTATCTTCCCCAGCGGACTGTGGAGACACACTTGAAGGATCTCGGTATACCTTCCCCGCACGCGTCAGTTTTCCATGTCTGTGGAACGACGGGTCACTTGTTGAATTACTCAGCGACAGTTGGAAATACTAGTACAGATGGGAGAAGTCGAACATGTCTGCTTGTTTGGGAACAGATCAAGTAGTGAGCAGGTGGGGAAACATTTGTAGCTGCAGATTGAGAGAGTCGGCGAGCACAATCTCCTGGTCCTTAATATCGTGGCGATTTGATAGCAAGCTTCCGGGTGCGCCAGATAGTTCCACTGAGAGGGAGTCCACTGGGAGGGAGTGCTCAGCCCAGCACCAAAACAAACTCTCTCTCACCGTGGACATCCATGCAAACCCCGCCCCATACTCCTGACTCCCAGTCGAAGAAAGTCGGCCGAGCAGGTCAAGGGTTGAACTGATCCTCACAAGGATTTGATGAAGCCATCGCAGCGCGAAACCCCAGGCTCACACCCAACCTGGCCGATTCTTTATAAAACTTACTGGTCCCAAACTCGGCTCGAAGTATAAAATTATGGGGGTGGGGCAAAAATTTTTGGAACCCCATTCCATACTGCGGAGGCCAAGTTTGCGTTCTCCACTGAGGACTTGGGCAAATGGATGGCTGGTGGGCCGCTTGTGATGCGCCTATTCAGGCTTTTCAGCTGAGAGCTCGATACGCCCGAATTGCAACGGTATCTCGAAGCAATGATGATGAATGACATTGCGAATTCGGTCTTCGGCTAAAGATATCAAGTTGCGGTCGTTGAGCATCGACAAAACTAGTCAGCTACGCCTCCTGCCCAGACGCCATGCGGAGGCGTGTTGATCCGGCGCGGGAAGGGGCTTGCTCAGGAACTCAGGAACCCAACTAACGTGGGGCCGATTCCAAAGCAGATCAAAGAAGCAAGATCGATGACGATTGATGCTGTGGCTGTTCTCTTTTTGGTTGCAGAAGCCCGAAGAACGGCCGCCGTTGACAGACTAGTGAGGCGCTCATTTTTGCTACCAGTTCGCTCAACTGCAGAGTCTAATCCTTGACTCCGAGACTCTCGGGTTAGAAGTGATAGTAAAATCGATGAATGATACGAAAAATTCGGCCGGCTGCTTGTTCAGAGGCCTTGTTATATTTCCTGTGCATGATCCCCGCTTGCTTGAAAGCGTATATGCTCGAGCACCTTTAACTACACAACAACTTCTCATTCTCATTTCATACATACAAGCTACATATATTCTCCCAAGGAGCACCAATTCTCTCAAAAACACACATGAACAAATGAGAATCGATTCCTATCCAATTTGCGGCCCGTTGTACACTTACAACAAAATTACTCGGATTCGCATCATTTGAACTTCTCAAAAGGAAACAAGAAACAGGAACAACAAAACAGCAAGCATGCAGGGAAATCAAAAACGGAATACCTCTTCTAACCTTCCGGCCTAGCCTAACCTATCCAGCTCCCTCCTTAGTTCCGCTGTCAAATTCCAAACCGTCGCGCGCTGAGCCGTGGACCTACTTGTTCTCTCCGGAGGCTGGCTCCAGCTCCAAAGCCTCGAATCCTCCTGCGCCCAACCATTCATCTTCTGCATGATCTTCGCCTTGTTGACGGGTGAAATGCGTCTTCACGACATCCTTCCACACTCCGTTTCGCTTGCCCGGTTCTCGGAGCCAGTCAATCATTGCGAATTTGATATTCTGCGGCCTGACGTCTAGGATATATAATATCTCCGCGACCCGGCGTCAGCTTGCGGTCCTAACCTCGGCGTTGTTGGCAGGTTCCTGGCGGAACGGATCTTCCGAAAGCACCATGGCCTGCAAGCTGACGAGGACGGACAGGATGGTTGATATATCAGGTTGCCACTGTGCAGCCTGGTCACCCTTTCTCCAGGTACCCAGGAGTGAAAGGCAGACTAAAATATAAATATTTATCATGTCGGTGAGAGAACAGAAATCGGTTTCATTAAGAGGGGAGTTTTTTTTTTTTTTTTTTTTTTAAAAAATTTTTTTTTTTTTTTTTTTTTTAAAAAATTTTTTTTTTTTTTAAAAATTTTTTTCTTTTAACGGAACCCTTAATATTCTGCAAGCACTTGTTGCTTGAATAACGCAGCCGATATCGATGCTGATGTTGATGATACAGGACAGATAGGTGAACTTGTACGGCCAAGTCGGAAACCTGTTGATGTTCTTCTAGGATAGTCAAAATTGATTACACTGTGTAGCTAACTAATCCAGTCATGAGGGCGAAGAATGCAATGCAGATAAAGCAAAAAGCGTAAATGAGTGTCGAAGGAAAGAAACTGGAATGGAAATGGAAATGGAAATGGAAATGACTCAATTTATATCCCCCATTCGTTTCCCCTTCATTCCTCATCATCTGCTTCACCCAACAACATCGATGAACCCATAGCGTAAATTAACTGCATCTGCAAGTAAGTTAAGGAGTCTCCGTCTAGTGATTGCCCTCCGACGGCGTCAATAACCATTGATTGGCAGCACTCAACTCGGGCAACTCACCAAAAGCGCTGTGGACATGATCATATAGGCCTGCAATGTTGTCTTATCTATCGTCCACAATCCTTCAATGATTCGTGTAGGCTTCCTTCCGCGATAGAAATAGTGAAATGCTTTTAGAATGTATATATATATATATATATATATATATATATGTAGTTTCAACGATTCTAAAAACAAGGATACCCTTAATGCTTAAATTTGAAATGATGCCTTAGAGAAACAGGCGCCCTTGTTTTGCTTTGATTTTTGTTATATAAAAAATATATAGCTAAGGCATATAATAGTATATGTGATATGATATAAATGGAAAATAAAATAAAACAACAAGGCCAAAAACAATCCTCTGGCCTAGTTTGGAGCAACTGGTAGGTACCAGAACCTGTCAGAAAAGCAAGCCCTCCCGCCGTTTTATTCGAAACCCGTCTTCATTCTCAAATCAAGAACTTTTTTTTTTCTCCTTTTCATTTCGTTTTCCCCTATTTTAGTCGCCGATTCCCAACACCTCTGGAGAGCCACCGACCTACCAACTCTATTGAAACCGAACCATCTTTCATGAAACGCAGCCAACCACCAAAAAGAGCAAAAAGGGGAGGATTCAAATAGCCTGGGGATATCAAGTACCACATTTAAAACATGTTTTCCGATTTTGGGAAAATGAGAATAAAAAAGGGAGAAAAGATATAATGAGGAAGAATAGGAAGCCAGGGCAAGAAGGGACAAATGGGTATTTTTTGCTCTCTCCAGTGGAAACTAGGATCTTAGAAACAGCGGGCACGAAATGGAAATTCATTGGAGAAGCTCAGGGGATCTGGGGAAATATCGTACGTACAGACACCTAGTAAGAAAAGGGCGAAGGGAATTATGTTGAGATGGGGTTAGGCGTTGGCGTGATGTTAAGTAAATGTTGAATTTTTGGCAGCGTTTGCGGTTAAGAGAGGGTTGCGGGTTGGATATTTAATATTTCCACTTCTGCCTCTCCACCCTTGTTCGTTTTTTTCTCTATCACCCAATCCTTCCCCAATCGCCATAACACCAGCAAACGAAACTGGTAGAAAGTAAAACAAAACAAACATAAACAACCCAAAACACCAAGGTCATCATTAAAAACACAAGGCCAGAAGTCATTTCACATCTCGTTATAGGTGTGTTTATGGAATTGTTGGATTGGATATTTGTCGGTTGTCCTTCATCCTCCTTTGCCGCATATGAAAATGGCGTGGGTTGGCGTGGCGTGGCATGCCATCAGGCTCGCTGCCATCTCGCAAAAAGCACATAAACATTGACTGAGATGCAGATTGGTGGAGAGGGTATCAATCTATCATCATGAACTTTTGCTCTTCCTTTTCTTTTCTTTTGATATTCAGTTTGGTCAAAAAAAAAAAAAAAAAGGCAAGGTGGGATTATCTATACATTGAGGGTGTTTGTTCAATTTTTCTTGTCGTTGTTTCCCTGGTGGGTTTTGCTCTTAACAAGAAGCAAAAAGGGCAAACAAAAAACAATCAGCTTTGGTGCAGAGGCAGAGTGCAGGATACAAAATGCGAAGTGTTGGAGGGTAGGTATGAGAGAGACGAAGATTGGTAGCCAGTGTCAGTCATAGGCCATCACAATATGAGCAGCGCCGCAAAGCGAGAATTTAAGAACAAAAACACAAACAGCCAAGTAACCAAGCAATGCAAGCAAAATAGGCAATGAATTCATTTTATTTCGTTGCCCTCTCTCTCGTTTTTCATTGCGAAGGCGGAGCGGAGGAGGGCATGGTGGATCCAGTGAGGTGGATCCGGTGACAAAGGTCATAGATGAAGCGACGTTGGCGAATGATAACACCATCGTACACGAAATTGTCGTGATGTATAGGACGCCAGAATGTCTTTAAAACACCTGAACGAAGACCTGCCCGCAGGAGGGGAAGTATGGGGAGGGGAGTTAATAACAAAAACCGTTCCCCCTATTCAAGGACTACCTCCCTCGTCTGGTACATCGAAGCCAAACCCAACCATATCCATACTATGAAGCGAGCCTGGGCCCCTTCCCATATCCAGATCTGACGACGCATAATCATTTCCCACACTCCCACAACCAACCCCAGCACTACCAACACTGCCGCCACCACCAATCGTCGGCCTCTCATGCGGTCCAAAAAATGGTCTATGCTCATCATCTCTCTCCCGCCCGTCCTGTGATTTCCCACCTCCACCTGCATCGCTATTTTCACAATCACCATCAACCCATGGCCCGACGCTACGCTGCCAGAAGCGCTGGTTCGCCTGCTGGTCACCGAAAAGGTCGTGGTCGTGGAGATGCCGGGGGAGGATGGAGGATTCGTGATCGATGTGGAGAGAGAAGTCGTGTGGGGACTGGTAGCGGAGTGGGGGACGACCGAAGGTTGAGCAGCCAGAAGCGGAGGCTGGGGAGTCAGCAGATGCGGGGAGGGGCATGGTCATGGACATGTGCATGTCGAAGACGGAGAGATGGTTTTGATTCTGGTTATGATTATGGAGGCCGTGGAGGTGGTGGTGATGGTGTGGATCATCCATGGTCATAGCATCTAGGGACGACGCGCCGGGGAATGACGATGATGAGGACAGCGAGGACGGCTGCTGTCCGAATCTTGAAACACCAACACCCATCACCCCGACATGGTGATTACTATGGTTGCTGCTGCCAGTTTCAAGCGTCAAATGTTCCTCAACGGTGGGTACCTGCATGCGTATCTTCCTTCTCGGTACTGTAACGTCCACCCCACAAGCCTCAATAACCTTTTCCTTATCCTCCTGCGAAAGACCGTCGAAATACTCAATAGCCAGCGATGGCTTCGGCTCGGCAAACACCTCACCAATCAAATTGTATTCCCGCCTAGCATAGCCCGAAAAACCAAACCCGGGGGCATATGGCGATTGGTACACGCTAGACGACTGGCGCCGCTGCATGTCGAGGTAAGCATATTTCCCCTCAATTTTGGACCACGGGCCACAGGGTTCTTTAGCTGTCACATCCTGCAGCGTTTTTGCCTCCGGAGGTTTTTTTCAACCACCGTTGTCACCTTTGGGGTTAGATTCAAAAGAGCAAATCGCAGCATTCGTAGCAGATGATCTACTTCATCGGCCTTCATATTTAACGGTTGCAAGGGGCCACAATTAGTGTCGTTATTATGAGTGTTATTATTATTAATATGATGATCGCTGCTCTTAGGCTTAACCATAGACTCCGACATGGCCGTCTTGAGCTTTTCCATCCCATTCTTGGGTAGCACCGAACCAGCGTGTCCCAAGAGTGTCTGGACAACAAAGTCGGAATTGACAATGGTATATCCGGCACGAAGATTGGCGTGGTCTGTAATCGAAGCCACAAGACGTCTGGCCATGGTGAACTGGGATGTGATGTCACCGGCCCATACTGACATTTTATGGTTATTATTAGGAGGCTCGGGTAGTTGTGGCTTTTCAATTGGCAGTTGAGGGTTGGTTGGTTGGGAAATGGGCGACTGGGATATGATTTGTGACGATTTAACTGGTTGAGACTTTATTATATTATGGGTGATGTTGGCGGTAGTAGAAGGAGTAGCAGTAGCGACAGCAGGCGATTTTACGGGTTGTGGTTTGGCCGTTGTGGTTTGTGTGGGTTGAGAAACTGAAGCTGACGTTGCTGTGGGGCGTTGTGTTGCGGTTGGGTGCCTTGTAAACGGGCTGGAGGGGTAATGGCGGGCATATGAGGGGGGATTGTGAGTTGTTGCGACGGGGGTATTTAGTGATTTCACGCTCTCCAAAAAATGTGACCGGGGATTGTGCAACGACCGATCCGGGTTTTCGGTGTACTGAGCACGACACTCCGTCGACGATTTCCCTAAATAATACCATATTTGCTCGGGCTTCGATAGATCAACTGGGGTGCTGGAAGAATTGTGCGGAGGCTTTGCAGAAATAAACTCGCCCCATTGATAGACAAACCGCGCATCACCAAACGGAGTCCCGGGAGATGGGACGGACGACGCCAAATCTTTCTTGGCATCTGGTTTTCGCGCAAGGTGGGATGGCAGAGGTTTAATCCCGGCCGGCAGCGGGGGGAACGATGATTTTTTCACAATCAACAAAAATCTGTACGGCAACTCAATCACATTACTGATAAAATGAAGAAAAAAGGTCAGCAGTAGCACGATAAACCCATCGCCTATCGCGATCATCATCTTAAAATGAGCAGGAGAAAACATGTTCCACACATACCCTCTCGGCAGAATTTTAACCAGCACGGACCTCTCAGCTGGCCGATTCTCAAGCACAATAGCGCCATTGATCTCTTTATCAGCCTGAAACTGTACCAACTCCCCTGTCTGAATGTTCCTCGCCGTCTGAATCGACTTCGGATCCGAATCCAACGTCTCCCCCTGCATGTAAGCATACTTCTTCGGCCGATGATACTTGCATTTCAAATCCACGCCGGGCACAGAATATTCCTGCCCGTCATCAGCCATGACGGCAACCTCTCCAAACTCCACTTGTACACCAGCAAGCAAAGCACAAGTAGGGTGGTAGGCTCTAGTACATTTTCCGTGCATGCACTGGAAGCAGGCGCCGTTGATTTCGCGACAGAACAGGCATTTCAATCCCATGCGGGCCTTGGGAACTTTATCGACGTCGCACACAACGTCAGCGCCAGAATCGTCCCTAAGGATTGTCGTCTCTTCGATATAAGTTGCACACCTCCGATGGGCATGAGATTTGCCATCTTCCGTGGGAAGAAGTTCCTCGTAATCCATGGTGTTCGGACAGAGGACACAACGGATCTTCTTCGGACCAGCCACATGTAGCTTGGCTCGTTTAGCTTTCGATTCGTGGCCCTCGCGCTTCCGTTTCTTGAGTCGAGTCCCGGATTTTTCCGGGACGCTACGGGGAGGCGTGAGCAGATCTGAAACCCCGTCCATGTCCATCTCGTCCAGATAACTACCGATTTCATCATAGTATTCCGGTGTAGATTCGCCCCGCAGTTTGCGTTCGATTTCACCGATATCGATCCAAACACTATCAGCTTCACAATTGCATTTCTTCGCGACACGAGCATAGTCCAGCCAGCTTTCGGTCGCAAAGTTCACAGATTCAGCACAATTGTATCCCAAATTGAATCCCGAATGGTATCCATAAGGATAGGTGATGACAAACTCTCCCTCATAATGGACCATCTTGTTCACGGAGATACCAAATTGCGACTTTAGAAGAGACGGGGAGATAAGGTAAGTTTTATGGCGAAGGAATTGGTCGCAGTTTTTCGCATCCGTTGGCCAGACACCTACACAATAATTTGTTGCCTTCATTAGCAAGAGATAATTTGTAATTGGCAAGATGCAGGAATTCCATAAAAACCCAATCCGCGAAAAGAACTAAGGGCAGGGTTGGAAGCTCACTCTTCATAGCCGCTTCGAACTTTCCCAGATCCTCCTGGGAAATACTATACCACTGTTTCGGGGCGCCAAAGTGGATATAGTTTATACTATACAAATCCACATCCTCCAAGTGCCAGGCGAAGGTTGCCTTCCACATACCCAGATATAGATAAGCAGTATTAACTCCAGGAACTTTCTGGCCAAGCACATCAAGTAGATTCGGTAATTTGGCAACGTTCCATGACGTTACGCTATCATCGAACAGGGACCCAGGCATATCCGCACCGTACATAGGATTGTTGTACATTAAGGATTTCCAATAAGCGGTTTCCAGCTCCTCGCATCGTTCAGGGGTGAATTCCTCAGTGCCAGAAAGACGGTAGTCAAAATCTTTGAAAGCTTCTTCATCAATGTGATCGGCTGCATCGCCGCGATTGTATTTTCTCCGGGCAGAAACAGATTTGGGTTGTCTTCCTTTAGGTTTCGGAGCGGGTAGTGATTCGCCATCACTAAGGATTTCTGTTTTGGTTTCCACGGGCTTCGATTCTGGAGACACAGGTGTGGGTGGGCTTTCCGGCTTTGATTTATCCAGATGGGCCTCTGAAGAGTCCTCCACAGGCTTATCCACTTCCACACGCTTGGGTTTGGGACCAGGCTTCCGTCGTTGCGAGTTTGACCTAGATTGTGACTTGTGCGCACCGCCCCGATTCACCTTTTCCTGATTCCGTCGACGCTCACCCCGTCGGGCTGGTGGTTGGTGGCTGCTCTCCTCACAAAGTGATTTCCATTGTGGTAGGTTATAGGAGCGCTGTTTTTCGATATTCGCCTGCGTGAAGGTTCCATGTGAACCGTGGAATTCCTGCATGATTGGGTTCTTGACCCGAATGGACTTTATAGGTTCTTCGAGGGACGGGAGTGCATCGGTCCTATGTAAAAAGTGGCATTTAGTCGACTGTCCCGCGGACAGATTCGCAATAGGAAAGGTAGGGCAAGCGAATAACAAAGAAGACCGGATGGATTGGAGGGTTACAGGACCAATTTAATTTGCAACGGAAGCGGAAAACTACATCCAGACAAGATGCGGAGACATGCAGTGGCCCATAGCCAATCACCGGATTTGCGGGGAAGCTCCCATTAGATACATCTCATCTTCAATAAACATAGGCTAGGCAGGCACATCACACCGAGAAGAGAGGAGATGAGACGATAAAAAAAAAGCGAAAGCCGATAGGAAGAAAAGAGAGAAAGCACGACTCACCATTCCTTTGGCGGTATGATTTTGATAACACCGGACTTCATGCCGTAGCTATCGACCTTCTGTACAAAGGAAGCGAAATCGCGGAATTGGTCCATTGTCTATACAGTATCCATCATATTCTGTCAGCTCACATATGTTACAATAAAATCCATTCATCGTAGCATCGATGTTCGAGGGCAAAAATGCTGGCGCAGACTGAAATGAAAGAACAGATGTATATATCCAATCAACCCAGCCAGCCTTGTCCTCTTATCGATACGCGGGAAAAAACTAAGATGGCAGAGAGAGATTACTAACAGGTTTAAAAACCGGAATCTTCCCGCCGCCATAATAATGATCGGGACGAATTTCATCTGCCGCTGGGGTTGCTGTCGACTCAGGCGCTGCGGGGGCATTTGAATTGGCATCTGTCTTTGAATTGGAATTGGAGTCGATATCCATATCTGACAGTTCCGACGTCGACGATGCAGCGGAAGAAGCAGCGGGGGACGAGGACGAGGTATTGTTGTGGTCGAGGGAGGAGGACGTCTTCTCGCCATCTGCGCTAGCAGGTGGGGTCATGGACGCAGTAGTATTATTTTTGTTGTTGTTATCGCCGGGATTGTCGAGGACCGGTGGGGGAGACATGGCGACGATAGTCCCAGCGGAAAGTTCCGCCGCCATGGTTTGCCAATACGTTTTGGATTCTGTTCCCCCAGGGCTAATTATATCGCTTTCCGGTTTCGTGAGTTTGGTATATAATAGATTTCACCCCAGCAAACCCCTTTTGAGAAAGCGGGGAAGGGGGTGGGAGGTGGATAAAAAGGGGAGGGAATTGGGGGACAATAGCGAAGAGAATCGAGTAAGGGGGAAGGAGGACAGAGGAGAGGAGGGAGAGGAGCGAAAAGAGGAGAGGTAGAGAAGCCCGCGTGGAGGAGGAACAGTATCAGCGATGGTAGGTGGTCGATGGGAGGGGAACGAGTGGAGAGGGAGGATGACCCATCGATCGATTGCCAGCCAGGAGCGAACTGGATGTCTTGTCACCGCAGCAGCAGGAAGGGCAGCGCAGGCAGTGCAGCAGACAGCAGAGACACCCACACTAGCCCCAACCCGGGATAGCGGTGTGACAGCGGCGGTAAACGCCTGCAGAACCCGGGATCGGGCAGAGGAGAGGAATAGGACGAGAGTAAGAATCGTGGTGGAGCAGTCGAGTGCCAGGGTGACAGATCTCACTGCCAGTCGCCGGCGGCAGGTCTGAACTATCTCTCTATCCTGGTCCGAAGGTTGACGTTGAAGATGCCCATGGACTCTCGCAGGCAGAAAATCTCTCGCCGCCGCCAGCCTACCTGCCCGGATTATCCTTGTTCCGAGGACACCAACCTCGGCCCGGACTATCTGTTGATGCGCAGTGTATGACGTAATTGCTCTAATATCTCCCAACTCTCGATCCTCTTGACAATGCTCACAGCGTCAAGTAAGAAGGGAAATAAAAAAAAAAAGGGAAAACGAAACAGAAAAGAAAAAGAAAATCGACCAGGAAAGGGGGGAGAAAAAAAAAACAAAGGAGAAACCACTCATCTACCCGCCCTCCATTACCCCGATGCCATCCCAGAACAACTCAAAGAGTTACATACAATTGACTTCCCGCAGCCAACCCTCCATCCAGGCCGGTTCTCAATCCCTTAAAGCCCCCATCCCCGTCCCCCGTCCCCACCCCAGCGCAAGGCAAAACGCCCCAATGCCCAATGCAATGCCCAATGCCTGAGAACGAACTATTTTATTATCACCACCCAGTCTAACACCCGCCCTAGCAGAACCAGGCCAATTACTCTTCAACCCCAAAAAATTCTGTCGCGAGCCAAGCATCCCGCTGTTCTTGTTGTGATCCAGTCCATTCCGTGCATGAAGGGGAAAAAAAAAAAAAAAATGGGGCAGGAGAAGAACTTGTGGAGAACGGGGAAAACAAAGGGTGCCAGCGAAGATAATATTGTTTTAGTTGACTAGTTGACTACTCTTTTAACTAGTTATCAATTATCAGCAGAATGTTTGGGTTCACATGCGGGTTGAAAACTACGAGTGAGAAAGAAATTTTTTAAAATTATGAGCAACAATACGAATCTGTAATCCCCTTGATAAACCGTGCGATGTGATGATCTACCTTAAATAGAATGGAGTAAAATAAAATAAAACAAGTTAAACAAACAATGGATTCGCATAGGTAAATCGGTTGCAATAAGCATCATTGTCATTATTATCATCACCATCACACTCAAACCACAAGTTTCAAAACGATTGAAACATAGAGGTATTCTAATCCTAGCGTAAGGCAACTGGTACAATAGCTATACAGCAAATAGCAATAAAGGGATATAACTAATCCAAATGCAAAAACAGCTATACGAAACCCGTGGGTACCCGCATTGTCATACATGGTGTCAAGCAAGCCAAAAAAAAAAATAAAAATAAAAATAAATAACAAAAGGCCGTAAAAATAAATCTGTATATAGGTATAGGTATATGTAGAAGAAACATCAAACACTCATAACCAAACAATCATTCAATACTCATTCAATTTCAACACTTTCCCAACCAACTTACGCTTCGGAGGCTTATCCCGATCTCGATCCGCCTGCAAACCCTTCAGCGCATGCAGCAACATCCCCGCATCGAAGAATCCATCTGTATGAAAGGAGGACCAGTTAGTATGTCATCTACCACGGGTTACAACGCAGACATCGTAGAAGTTGAGGGAAAGACAGCTGAGAGTAGTAATAATAATTTATAACTTACATCCACCCATCCCATCGTCTTCTACATCGCCACTATCCGTCGTCGGGGTCTCAACCGTCCCCGCCCCGCCCACAAGCTGCGGATCAACCCTCACCAGCCGCCCCCTCCCCTTCACGCGTTCTCCAGGTGCCACCACAACCGGCGCAGTGGGAGACTCTGCATCCATCTGCCTCTCGCGCACACTACTCGGCCCCACGGGTTTGCGCTGCGTCGCGCGCAGCAGCTTGCGAATCTCATACAGATACGCCTCGAGCGACTGGATGAAGCGGGTTGTCTGTCGATGCTTGGACGACGCGCAGATGGAGATTGAGTCATCCTTTATGATGTAGCCGATGCCGAAGCCGTCGCCAGAGGTGGGACCGAAGCCAAAGTGGCGCAATGACGGATTGCCGCAGTTTGAGGTCGAAAGGATTGTGGTATTGATTTTATCCCAGCCAGCGTCATTGAAGAGAGCTGGGGTGTGGGCGAGATGTTGAAGGCGGATGTTGCGTGAGCTGCTAGTGGAGTAGCTAGAAGATATGCCGTCGTCGGAGGGCGAGGAAGGGCGGGAGACGGCGGTAGAACCGTGCGCTGGGGCTGGGGAGGAATCAATGGATGAACCGTTCTCGGCGGGGCTCGAGTAACCGTTTGTGCTTGGAGGCCCGCTGCTGATTATCCCAAGTCCATCATCGAAAGAGCGCTGCCAAAGACAGTAGAGGGCGTAGAGATGCCGGTCTTGGCCTTTGCCTTGCGAACAGGTCTTGGTAGTTGCGGTGTGTTTTTCTGTGGCTTTTCGGAGAGCTGCTACCTTTTCCGCTGCGGGACGCTCGTCCCAGAATGTTCGCACGAACTCCACAGATTCGTGGGAGACGGTTCTGACGGCCTCCGTGCGCCCGTGGAGGAAGAACTTAGTCATCGCTGGTTCGTAGGTATTCTCTACCCGGCCGTAGAGACCATAGTAAGCGGCTTGGAAAGCCATTTGAACAAATGCATCAGGCGAGATGCTCATCGATGTGATGAAGTTCTTTCCGTAGCCTTTAAAATCGAGGACTTGGAATTCATGCTGATGTAACAAATCCGCGAGGTGCGATTCGGCAAATCGAAGGGCAATGCTGAGTTCTGGACCCATGTCCCACTCAAGTTTGTGTGGGGTTGTGCTCACATTCGATGCAAAACTCTCAGGACTCCGTTTTGATGGGGGAGGGCTGGTGGTTGCCCACAAGCTAGGCGCCTGGCCGTTAATGGTCCTGGCAAACCGAAGGATCGTGTCCGTGTAAACATCACTAGCGAATCGAAGTACAGTATGGCCGTCTACGCCAGTATGCTCAAAGTTGATACCGGCACTGCCGTTCTTGCAGACAATGATTTGAAGCTTGTCATACCATCGGTTCGTGCACGTTCCAATCTGTACACCCCTGACCACTTCATTGGTCCCGCAAAGCATATTGGCGCAAAGCTCAGCTGTATTAGACGGCTCCGTAGAATCCAAGCACAAAACAAATAGCGCGGTATCGACGATATTCAGACACTCAGCGTTGTTAGACTTCCGATCTTTGGTCAAGATATCTCTCAAACCCGACCAGACTTTCCGGTTCTCCGTACTGAGCACACCAAGTGCCCCTTTAGCGGCCTCCTGAATTGGTGTCTGCTCTGCATCTTCGATAATTACTTGAAGATTGAGCGATATATCCCTTTCGCTCATAAGCAGGTCGTTATTGTCGTCAAGAACGTCGAACCAGTAAAACTGACCCCGACAAAGAACCACCATATGCTTAGCAGCCGAATCTTGACCAATGATGCACCCGTTCTCGGTTGGCACTCTTGCTGTACCAAACAATCTCGAATATTGAAACATGCAAAGCGGTTTCCCACGAACTGTGTCCGGAGCAAGCTCCTCTCTTCGAACAGCCCGAACGAATGATAATGCGGACACTACTAAGGACGCTGCGCGAGTAACTTGGTTGTTCCTGGAAGGAGTGGGATCATCCTCTAAGAGGAAAAACGGATTAAGATTGAGAACAACAGCTATCGAGATGTTAGCCACATACTTTCGATGCGCCACCATGCCGCTAGGAGAAGGAACATGTTCCACGAAGTAACTCACGATTATCATAATTCAAATAAGAATCATACCCTAACAAGCATGTCAGTAAATTGCTACGGAGTGACCACACAAGTAACGGCCAACAGTAAATGCAGAAATGTAGAAAATAAACCCACAAAACTGCTCGATATAACTCGACTTCGAAGTAGCGTAGTTCTTCAGCTTATTTTGCAATTCCGGGCCGTCCGTCTTAAGAAACTCATTTACAGCGGCCTTTGTCTCCTCCTGCTCCCTGGCAGACTGTAAAGGAGCCAAACACTCCAGGTAGCGATTGCAGGTGCTCTCAAGATCTGGGATCGGGAGTTTGGGGAGGGAGTCTTGGTTTGCGAAGGTTATGCCATTTTGGACCTTTTCCGGAGGGTGGGACTTGGGGGTGGAGTTGGTAGGATCGGCTGCGGCCATGGCGCTTTGGGACATTTCCTTGTTCTCAGAAATCCCGTTTGGAGATTTGGGGTTTCTCGAGTTCTCGTTCTCAGCCAGAGTCTCCCCTAAGGGTTTGGGCGTAGTAAAGAATCGGACTGCCATGGTGGAATATGACATTGTTTTTCAACGAGTCAGTGGGGGGAACACTAGCATCAAACCAAAGGGCTCTAAACGTAGTGAGATGACAGGACGGTGGGTATTGAAAGGAGTCGCAGGGCGCTGCGGTAGAAATAATGGCAATCCTGTGAACAATAAGAAGGCATGGAGGCAATTTAAAAATACGATAAAGGTAGAAGAACAAAACACAACGGAGTTGGCATGATCACAGAAGTGGGTATCAATAATATGCCGGGTCCAAGAGATGGAAAATCCGGGAGGCTTTTCTGCGTGTAAACAGGAACCAAATGGAAAATAGAATGAAGGTGGATGAGGATCTATCTAAGAAAAGCAGCAACAATGACACTCGCGCAACTTGGAGGAATGATATCACCTTGGACACGGGATCCGGGCTGAAGGAAGTGTGTGGAACAGTTGGATGCGCCGCGACTATTCTTGGAAAAACGCAGGGGGGAAAGCGGAAAAGCTCACGGGAAAAAAAGATAACTAAACCGACAAGGACTCGTCAAGGCTCAAGTGGGCGGAGTGACTAGGTAGGAGAGAAGGCAAGCCCGAGGCTACAGCCTAGGGTGTGTCGGAGTAACGGATGGGATAGGTAGCAGTTGTTAGTGCAGGAGCAAATCAATCAGACGAGCACACTGTGGAGCAGCTTGACGAAGGTGAGAAATCTGTTCTCCGAAGATAGGCGGAAGGGAGGTCTCATTATTAGCAAGATACCCGCGCGAGGCAATAAGGGATTGAGTAGACGAAGTAGGAGCCCGAGAACGGGTTGATGTTGCTGGAGGATGAGGAGGAACAGGAGGAGGAATTGAGGCTGTCAACCGTCACGCTTCGCCTGTCAGCTGCAGGCCATAGATAACTAGGCGCAGAGCTTACCTCAGGTGCAAAACAACCCATGATGCGGGCAACAATCAGACGAGCAGCATTATTAATGAACGACAAATGAACATATAGAAAGTCAATGCCGCTTTGGCCTCCGAAACCGCCGTGCTGATAACAGAGCACTGACACTCGGTTGGCCACAGGATGAGGTAAGCGACGGCTAACCCCACTCGCAGCCCCGAACACACCAAGCACTGTTCCTTATCTGCAGATGTATGTCTGTCTGTCCAAGGCGGTTTTATCCCTGTACCCAAGAGAAGTCGTCCATCACCTCAGTTTATACATGTTGATTCTCGCACTATGGTCAGGAACAAGAAGAAAGCAGAGAACTGCCAACTCCCTCTCCGACCCCAGAGGCCTGATTAGTTGCTATTCCCACATTTATTTTCCCGCCGCAGCTTTCAAACATTTGCCATCCCAAGTCCGACCCGGACTTGAGGAATAAAATATGGGAAATAATTTCCTGGGCCGAAATTTGAAAATTATCGTTTGTGTTGTGGGTACTAGTAGTTGTGGGCGCTACACAGCAGCTCCAGTTTTTTCTTTAAAAGAGGCGAAGACAAGAACACCCGGTAATAAAATAACTCTCATTTGTTCCAGCTTGCTTGCAGTTTTTGTTTCGCTAGAGAGATAGAATCTCTTCGCAGGAGGAGATGTGCCCCACCAGGACTGGATACAGGGAATTGAATTCTCTGCTGCTCCCTTGTGCCTCCACAAGGGAGGCTTGTCGAATCCATGCCCAATCTCAGTATATGTCAGCCTGCTTAAGCTTAATTTCTAGAGAGAGATCTTGAGACACATCATTGCCACCCTGTCACTATTTCTCATCTCACCACAATCATTAATTCACTCTATACAGAAAGTAGATGTAGTGATGCAAACATCAGACATTGTATGTATGTATGTATTTGTTTAACGTCCCAGGGGAGGGCGCAGGCAGCGTCTGCACCTTCTAAGCATCCCGAAGGGCATGGAGGCGCGCTACACCGAAGGGATCTATGTACACAAAGGAGAAGAGCAGAATTCAGATAGCAACTCATGAGAAGACTCAGTCCTCTGGACTGTGCATCCACTTCTGGCCCGACGTATGGTCATTCGTGGTGGGGCTAATACAGAAAAGATTGAGAGGGAGCTGACTCCCCTTTGTGACGAGGACACTTACAGTGTTCAGAGTGAAGAAAGAGCGGAGGAGGAGAGAGAGAGAAAGAAGAAGATAGGGAAAGTAACGAAAATAGAAAGAGTAAAGAGAGTGTGCAAATGAGTAAAGAAAGAAAAGTGCAGAGATGAGAGAGAGAGAGGGAGAGAAGAGAGAAGAGAGAAGAGAGAAGAGAGAAGAGAGAAGAGAGAAGACAAGAGGTATGAAAAGAGAGAGAAGAGATGAAGAAATAGATACCTGAGAAAGGCTTGAGAGGGGTATGTTTTGTCCACTGATGATTCCTGTCGTGTTGCTGGTTTTGGTGTTCTAACATTGGGAACTGCAGGGTGGGCTGTCTGTGTGTTAAGTCTGCTACGGCAGCCTATAGTGACAAATGTGTCAAATGGGTTTTTTTGATGTTTTCCACTGTAATTACTTAATTCCACTTACAGACACTCATTGATAGAAATTTATACTAGAAAGCAATGCACCTTGATTCCTTCTCTAAGTACATTTAAAACAGTGAATTTATGTCATTATATTATCGCGAGATATTATCACTAGATATCATCGCTAGATATCATCGCTAGATACCATCACTAGATATCATTGCTAGATATCATCATTGGCATCACTAAATACCATCACTAGATACCATCACTAGATATCATCGCTAGATATCATCGCTAGATATCATCGCTAGATATCATCGCTAGATATCATCGCTAGATACCATCACTAGATATTATCACTAGATATTATCACTAGATATTATCGCTAGATATCATTGTGAGATATTATCACAAGATATAGATATCATCGCGAGATATCACTGCCAGTATATATATATATATACTGTGGTTTCCACACTATGAGCTGGTGGTTGCAGTGTATAGATAATGGGTTCAGTGGCCACATCCACTGTGGGCCAGGATGTATATATATACATATCACTATGAGCACAATGATTCAACAAATGATTATGTTGACTTTTTGCTATGAATAATCTAGTTATTATAGTTCTAGCTTATTATATTTAGTGATGATATTCATGATGATATCTCGCGATGATATCTATATCTAGCGATGGTATCTAGCGATAATATCTAGTGATAATATCTAGCAATGATATCTAGCGATAATATCTAGCGATGATATCTAGCGATGATATCTAGCGATGATATCTAGCGATGATATCTAGCGATGATATCTAGCGATGGTATCTAGCGATAATATCTAGTGATAATATCTAGCAATGATATCTAGCGATAATATCTAGTGATGATATCTAGTGATGTGGTTCCCCACTATGCTGCGGCTGGCGGTCGCAGTGTATCAGTGGTGGGTTCAGTGGGCCACACCCACTGTGGGCCGGGCCACACCACCACACCCATGGGTATATATATCACTATGAGCACAACCATTTAACAAATGGTTATGTTGGCTTTTCACTATGGATAATCTAGTGATTATAGTGTTATCTTATCACAGTGATGATATATATTGAAGATGATATCTAGCAATGCATTGCTTTCTAATAATCCATTATCCATAAGCTCTATTCAATTACAAATAGAATGAATATGATAGGTGTGTGTACATTGTAACACTAGTATAAAAAACCCATTTGACACATTTGTCACTATAGGCTGCCGTGTCTGCAGTGGAGAAATGGGGGCAGGCTGCCCTGAAGGCTGTTGAGCGCCTTGCCCGTTGTCTGGCGAGGACGACCCACCACGCAGAGCCTTCCTCACTGACGGACGGCACTCTGAGCAGCAGTCGTTACACTGGAAGCAGTCCTGGGGGTGCCTGCGGCTGGCGTCTGTGCTCGCGCCAAAGGTGATGGCACCACAACTGCCAGTAAACCGACGGATGGCAGTGAGCTCCTGCCGAGTGAGGCGCCTGAGGATACCGTTCACCCGCTTGGGTGCTGCCGGGTAGGGCTGATGGCAGTTGATACACTGCGGTCTCTTCTTGCACTCTGTGCCCGCTGGTCCTTCGTGCTGATTGCAGTTGGAGCATCTAGCTAGCCGCGTGCACTTGGGAGGGTGGCAGTACCCCTAACACCCTGGATCATGCCTCACAATTGAGGGCTTCTTTTCAATGATGTGAGATGGCTCACTGGGGTTGGAAGAAGTGAGAAACTCTTCACTGGGATGAGAAAAAAGAGAGAGACAATCCAGGTGATTTTCCCTCAGGGTTCTCAGGGTTTAACTCCATGACATGAGGGGGCGGCAATTCCACCGGCCTTCATTTTTGTCTTTTCCGATGCAATCTTATGGGCGGCGGTGGGGGACCTTTACACCTTCCCATGGGAACAGTCTAACGCGCGTGCAGCATCAAAAACTCTCATTTGTTCGGTAGTTTTTTGACGGCTTTTTTCAAGGCATCAATTCTTTGTTTTTTCTTTGAGATAATTTTCTATCTTGCCTGCCGCCACCGGGACCCGTGGCTGGACTGCCATTACATGCATGACATGTTGCAGCTGCAGCCACAACCACAACCCACCAGCTGCACATATGAAGTGTGATCAACATACATAACTAGTTCCTCCCACCAATGTGTTGACAAAGCCACCAGGCAGGCAAACCTTTCTAGAACAATCAGCTTTCCTGTTAAAACCTTTTTAACTTTTAGTAAATAACCCAAGCACATCTCTGGGAACGTCTTAAATCACTCATATGTACATATATAATTATCTATTCGTATTAATAGCTACCGGAAAATGCTATACAAAGAGAAAAAAATGGCCGGAGAAAAAGGGAGGGAAAAAGTAAAAAAAAAAAAAAGGAAAAGGAGGGGAAAATAAGGAGGAACGACGTCGCAATCAAGCACTGCACAGCGCAGTGCAATAGAACCTATGAAGGGGATGGGAAAGCGGGATAACCCTTCCCAGGAAGCGTTCCGCCTGTCAGGTAGCATACTTCCGCTTAATCACATTCCTCGACCACCCATCCTCTACCACCAATACCTCCGACTCCAGTTGATACTTGCCCAGCCACGGCATCAATTTCGCCCAGATGAGCCAGTAGATGCCACCGATGAACGCAACCCCAATGGCCAAGACACAGTGGAAGTAGTAAGGGAGTCCTCCGTAGGCTTTCTCATTTGTCGGTGGGGGCACGAAGGGGCAAATGGCGAGATATATGTTGCTGATGAGGAAGAAGATTACTACCGGCAGCGACGCGGAGTAAGGTGGGTTCCAGTTGTATTTGGTGCGGTTGAAGTAGATGTGGATGAGGGCGAGGGCAACGAAGGCGTTGATTATGATGAGGGGATAGGAGACTACACTGCAGGATGAAAGGTGTTGGTATCCTTCAAAGAAAAGGATTCATAGGGGCAAAAGGCAGAGAAAATTTAGGCTACACACTGAAGGATCAAGTTAAATGCATCGCCCGGGGGGGGTACTAGCATGATAATGACAGATATCACCCAGTGTTCGAATAGAGCCGCCAGAGGCGCGTTGAAAGGTTTATTGCTCGCCAAGAATCCAGAGAACGGAACGGTTCCCTCCCGGCCAAGTTCTTGGATCACTTTAGTGATATATATATATTAGCCGACTGTAATAATGAACATTTTTCAAGCGATCTGATGACGACATACCGCGGCTTTGTGAGAACATGATACTCAGGACATTGCCAAACGCTGACAGCGCGATGAAAACGGAGAGTGCTCTTTCGGCATGAGGGCCAAAGACATTCCGAAAGAATGACGCCGCTACCACACGGCCGGAGGAAACTATTTCTTCCTTTGGGACTGCGGCGAAATACGCAACCTATGCATCAATGGTGATTAGCTGGGAGGTTGGGTCATTTGGGATGGGGTTGCAAAAAGGGTACCGTGTACATTAGTCAATATGTACAAAGTAGAGAGGACGCCTAGCGCTAGAGGAGCGGCGATCTTCAATGTTCTTATGGGATTGTTCGTCTCGCTCAATGCAGCATTGGCGCTCTTGTACCCGAAGAAGCTGTATACGACATTGTACAGAGCGGTGACCACCCCGTACGCACTCGATGTGGTTCCTTCAAATGCGTTCTTAAAGTTGTTAGGCCTGTCGACTTTGAGTACGCCCGCAAGTGCGGCCGAGCCGGAAACAACAATTAAGCAAATGATAAGGAATTTGATCAGACCCAGAATGTTCTGCAACCACAATCCCCACTTCAGCGCCAGGCCGTGGATTAGAAGCGCACATGTAATGCAAACAAGTCCGATAATTCGCTGGTTCCAGCGGGTTACCTCCACCTGCGCTGCGTTCAAGACGTACTCCCCAAAGACCACCGAGCTTGCTGCCGAGCAGCCTATTTAATCTGTCAGCATTTCCACAAGTGATATAATTGTGTTCTCACCATGTCCAGAACCGGCAAATCTGACTCCCTCACCTAGCAAAACCACGTAGGCTGAATACAAGCACGATGTGAGGAACTGTGGCTTGCGGTATACAAATTCCAAGTAGTTCTTCTCCCCGCCGTTTCGAGGAATGCCAGTTCCAAATTCCATGTATACCGCCATGCCCGCAGCAGTGATGATCGCTCCGACAACCCATAGGAACAAGCTCAACCCTACACTGCCGGACAGCGCTAAGATTTTACTGGGTGTAACAAAGATTCCGGTACCGATCATGCAATTGAAAATGAGAAACACGGCTGATGTGAGTCCTATCTGGCGCCGTAAAGGACTGGTTTGACAAGGATCTTGTGCTTTCGGCAAGTTAGTGACGTTGCACCCTATTCTCAACCAACTCACTAATATCAATCTGTTCACATACTCTCTTCCGGTGCTTCTTCGTTAACCTGATGGACAACACTGAAGCTGTTTTTGCTCATAGCTTGCCAAAATGTCGAATTTATCCAAATTTTTTCATCAGATGCCATCTTGCTTTTTTAATGCTGGAACCTTACTTGGAGAAGCGGCGAACAATAGGTTAACCAACTGGTAGGAGATATATAGAAGTCTGTCCAGAAAGCCAGAACAAATGAAACTATTTGAGAAACCAATATAGAACTCAAGCCAGCCCATCACTAATTCTTAAAATGGTACGTTGCATCAAAGCAAGTCGCAATGAATGCGAAAACACAATATCAGCTGGTTGAAGACTGCTCAATGGCAATAGGACTGCCCTGCTACACCTAATGGCAGTAGCTATCCGGGAGGGGAAAACGATCAGGACCCTCAACTAGAAGGGAAAATGCCAAAGAACTCGGCTAATAATAAGTTAGTCGAGAACATTAAAGGGAAAAAGGAGCATCAGAGACCAGACTTAGCTATATATATAAGTTCTGGTATGGAGTTCGGGCCACTCGGATGGCCCAATGCCGAATTCAATTCCCCTTCTTCACCTTGCCGTCATGTCAACTAAAAGCTGAAATGAAATGATAAGCAAGTAAATATTTATCCACAGGAATGAAAAGCGCCTGCCTGCTTTGGCCTGGATGTCGTGCTCTCAAGATCTGCGCGTAGCATATCATTTGGCCATCTTTAAATACTAGTATGTTGCTTGCCTCATAGACCTGAGAAGCTCGGATAATTTTATAGAGAGCCTCAGATATACCCATGGAACATTGAGTGTTAAGCCATCGGAGTCGCTCCGTACCGGTGACGAAACCACATTTTATTCGTGCCCACAAGCTCAAGCCAAAAGGTAAACAAGAGAAATTTTCTTAACCCCATATCCAGCAGCCCGTTTTTAAAAATAAACTGGAAAATGCAACGCTGGTTTTTTCTGCCAATATGCCATTGTGGGATTAGCACCAGTCGTATATATATTGAAATGGAATGACGTTCTGTAGTGGGGCTCTTGAATATGGGGCATTGTGACATCCAACCAAGAATAGCCTGGTACAAGATGTCGCAACATCGCGTAAGTTGGCATACGATAATCTCCAGCCGAACCGCGTTGTACCTTGCCTTGAAATACCTGAAGCGCCAATAATTCCGATCTGGCGATCCAACGCTGGAATTATGCCCGGTCTTCATGACATCGAAGAGCATATGGAAGGGTTGTCACATGGGCACGCCGTATGGATGGGACGCTCAAGCACGTGAAATAAACCTTGGCAATCGCCACCACGATCATGGTGTCTTTTTGTAGCAGAGAGGTAGAAGGGGTTGCCAACACGAACGGCTGAGTTCGGTATATGCGTATGTTCATCATTTATCATACTGACTTCAGAATAGCATTGAATGGTTCGAGCAGGCCTAGCCATATCACGGATTGTTGTCAAGGTTTGCAAGCAGTCAACATGTGAGTCGGATGGGAATCTGCGACCATCCAATAATCTGAAGTCGCATAATATTGTCCTAGGCAGGTACAAGTCCCTTTCACATGACAGGGAAAGGATTTCTCCTCTGGTTCTAGATATATTTATGTATATACTATTTACTGAGCTGATGATGGTTGTGAGGCGTTTGAGGCAGACTGCTTTCCAGCAGATTGGCAACGTGTTTGACTGTGCGTATCTGTCGGTTGTTGGGTGGGTGAGCATACATCTTGAAGGGGAAAGCTCATGCCCAAAGCTTCTCTACTTGAAACCTACTAGTTAACTGCTTGAGAACCTCTGTTGGGCTGAAGGTGATGAGAATTCTCTCCTAACGTCGTGGAGAGGAGATATTCATGACATAAGTGTTCTCCACACTATGTAGTTAGTGTATTGAATTATTTTTATTTTTACCATCGCCGGGGGGATCAGTGATTGACGCATCAGAAATTTTTGAATTTTTCCCGATGCAATTGATCATGCTGGTGCAGAGTCCATTAACGCTGGTCAAATCAGCGAACTTCCGCACACGGCCCTGAAGCCCCCAAGTTCAGATTGAGCTGTTCTTTTGCGTTTAAGTGTAGATAGTGTATGCTGGACGAGCAGGCAGAACAAGTCGTACCTTGGTGTTTTTTTTTTTTTTATAGATGAACAATGTACTGTACGTGTGTATATATACATATATATGTATGCATGTATGTGCAGTATATATTCCGTGCCATGTGCTCCTCAAAGGCGCTACGCATAGATGCCAATATATATATAAATAAGGAAAGAAAGAAAGAAGGGGGATAGGAGATCAACGACTCGTCGTAGACGGGGGCAGTTGGTGCAAGTCAGAAGCCAGTTTATCCGCAAATATATACATCTTCACGAGCCCCTGATATCGAACGTAGACATGAACATGAAAAAAAAAAGAAGAGAGAAAAGAGAGAAAAGGGCGTTCGGGATAGGCCATGAATAAATAAATACGTTTATTGACCATGACCATAACCATGATCAAGGACAAAGGACAAAGGACATCAAACGCCAAAACAATGCCTTTGTTTTAACGTTTTAACGCTACAGCTGCCTCCGCGTCTTGTTCGTTCCGTTTCATTGTTCTCAGCAGCAGCAGCAGCAGCAGCAGCAGCAGCAGCTTTTTGCTATGAACATTATTTACACTCTCGCCATGAAAAAAAAGAGGGAGGGGGAATCCCGCGGGTTTGTTTCAATAACTACAAGAAGGGGGGAACAAGTACGACTTCATTCAGGGGCCAACAGAGAGCTTTATTTTTATTTTTATTTTTATTTTTATTTTTTTTGTTTTCAAAGAGCAACCGCGTGAGAGTCGAGGAAGAAGAATGTATTTATACAATACAATACGATATGATGATAGATAGTTCGATAAGAAACAGAACTCGCAAAAAATGAACACCCTCCAAACCATCACCACCACCACCATTATCATCATCATCGAAAGAACCAACAAGCAACGCAAGCAAGCAACGCCACTCTAACCCCTTTCTTTCTTTCTTTCTTTCTTTCCTTTTTTTTCCCCCTCTACCTTTCTCGCCTCCATCCATCGCCTTCTCCCTTCACGTGGCGTCGGCGGGATATTTGTCTGCTTCCTTCTTTCTTTCCCTGTGCTCTCCCTCTCCTTCTCCCTCTCCCTCTCTCTCGCTCTCAGTTTTGCGTCTCATGCTCCGCCGAAGAAGACGTAAAAAAAAAAAAAAAAAAAAAAAACCAAATAGGAAATAAAGAAACGACACAGCTGAAAGCTTGAAGCTGGAAGCCATGTAAAAAGACAGAAGAAGGGAGGGCGGAAAAGAAAAAAAGTAAAAGTAAAAGTAAAAGTAAAAGTAAAAAGTAGATAAGATAAAGTGAATAAAATAGCTAAATATAAAAAATAAAACCAAGATCCCACAATGAGTTGGGATGAAGGCAGGGAGGGGAATGAAAGATGTATAGATAGATAGATATAACTAAGTAAATGATATGTTAAATACAAGCTGAGAAGATAACTAGTTATACTGTGAAAATATAAGTCACGGAAAGAAGGATAAAAGAATAAAATAAGTAATAGAATATAAAACAAATCGTTTGTCACAGTCGCAGTGAGTCGATAAACGATAGGAATCGTAGATCGTAAACCGTAAATGTAGATTGGATTGTTGGATCTTGTAAGCTTGGATCTGGACGAACGGGACTGGCTTTGACTGCACTGGTGTCGAGAGTCGGGGGATCCTCTGGAGGAAAAGGGGTTTGACATGTATGTGGATGTGTTGGCCAGCCCCTTAGATACATACATACATACCATACATATATGCACACGAATACACATCAAACACCCCCTCCACCGGCACCACCCCCGAGTTTGAAAATAAAACCGCTACTACAAATATTTTATTCACAGAAAGCGAAAGGAGAAAGGAAACGAAGATGTAAATAAATCAAGTAGAAGGAAGCGGATTTAAAGAAGTCAAAAAAAAAACACCAGTTGCAAGCGTAGCAAGCAGCAAGCAAGAAAGCAAAGTGAAAATGAAGTGAAGCGAAAAACTACGCAACAGCCATCGCAGCACCTAGTGGTCGGCCGACATTCTGAGCATATCTGCCGCCGAAGTTGCCTATATAGGGGGAAAGAAATGTCAGTTAGCGGCACTTTGAACCAAAAAAAAAAAAAGAAAAAAGGGCCCAGAAAAAAGGGGGGGGGGGGGGGAGGGGGGCTTGAAGCATACCAGGGGGTCCATAGTTGCAAACGGTATTCCAGCGCAGATTGTTGGAGCACTTGACGGTAGCGCAGCCGACGGTAGTAGTGTCCTTCCACACGATCTGGCTGAAATGGCCCCAGTTATGGAAATTGCTCATGTCTGGGTTGGCCTGGCCGTACAGGCCCGCGTACAGGCCGGCCTCGTCGTTGTACATCATGTTGGTAATCATCTTGCCAATTTCCTCGGGCGTGACGCCGTATCCGATGTTTTGGCCGTAGGATTCGGTGCCGACGGAGCTCGGGGTGGATTAGTTTTGTTTATATATATGTAAGAACGGGAGATGAGCACTTACGTATCATGCTCGAAGACGCATTTGGAGGCAATCTGCTGAGCGTAGCCAGCGAGGGTGCTGGACCAACCGAGCGCATTGGCGGAGTGGTTGGAGCGATGGATGTTGTGGTGGTAGAGCACCTTGGACTGGTAGTCATTGCCGGGGCCTGGTTGAGGCTTGGGTTGTGGTTTTGGCTGTGGTTTTGGCTGTGGTTTTGGTTGTGGTTTTGGTTGCGGCTTGGGCTTGGGCTGGTACTGGGGCTGGGGCTCAGATTCTGGAGTAGGATATGAGCCCTCATCCTTTGGGGGAGGAGAGGGAACCGGAGTTGGGGTTGGCGTGGGAGTGACGGCGCCGGCAGTTACGTATTCGGTGACGGTGACGATGGTGACATCGGTCACGTAGGCTCTGGGCATCAGCGGGGAGGAGAGCGCGCCAGCGGCCCAGAGGGCAGATAGAAGGACGGAGGATCGCATGGCTATCTTGATGTAAATAACAAATAAATCCCTTTCTCGCGCTTCTTTGATAAAACTTGTCTTTTTGGGTTTGTTTTTCTTATCTCTTCTACCGCAATAGGAAGAGATATCCAAGATAATATTGTCAGGGGTCGTGGGGACGTCGTCGTCAAGTCGTCGTCGCCGGGATTGGAATATCAGCCAGGACAATCAGGGGTAAAAATGGGAAACAGAAGAAGAAACTGTTGAGCAAACGAAGGACGCGACAGCGATAACTTGGCGAATCTCTCGATTGTTTTTGTGTTCGACTGTGATTCCTTCTTTTTTCTTTTGCCTTTCACGCACAGATCAACTGTGAGTGAGTGAGTGGGGGGATAGTGAGTGAGAGGGAGAGTTGGAAGTGGGGGGGGGGGTTTATCAGAATCTGACCAAGGCAGACCGATCAGAGAGTGAGAGGGGAGGGAGAGCGAGAGAGTGTGTATACAGGATTCTGGCACCGAAAGGAGCGACAGGAACAGCAAGCTGGCAGACACACTTTGAAGGAGCGAAAAGTGCACAGCAACAAGCAAGGATAGACAAGCGAAGAAGACAAGGCGGGATGACAGGCAGGGAAGAAGCCGAAAGAGAGACGGCGGAAGGAAGGTTGATATATAAAGGAGAGTGTGAGAGAGGAGAGAAAGAAGAGGAAGAGGAAGAGGAAGAGGGAGAGGGAGAATAAGCAGAAGAAGGACAAAGGCACCAGCGACAGAGCCAGAGCCAGAGCCAGAGCCAGAGCCAGCGACGGCTACACAGCGACAAGCCAGCGTCATTCCCCATTCAATCTGCCCAGGAAATGAAAACATGCGAAATGAGCCAAGAGATGCGGGCTGCAGCCGGCGCTGATAGGCTGGCCGCCGCGTGAAACAAGCCAGGAACGGCCCAGGAACGGCCAGGAACAGCCAGCACCAGCCCTAGGAAGCACACTAAGAATCACCGGCATCATCATCCCCATCCCCCATCCTCTCCATCAGCATCATCTCCGCCACAGCCAACGGAGTGATACACAGGATACATCCATGCTGGTGGCGGCTGGGCCAGGCGTTTCGATACCCCGGCCAGATAGAGATATATCGATATAAGAATGTATATATATATATATATACATATATATATGCAGATATCGACGCTGTAGTATCAATGCATGTATCTCTCTCACCAAGCTTGGGAACCTTGGACCGTGCCTTGGTACCAGACCGCGGGCCAATCCGCGGGCAGCACCCCGGCACTAAACATGACAAAACCCAGCTGGCCGGTAATAATACGGGCACGATACCAGGTATCGTCATCCTTGCAGCAAAACTCAATCTTCCGTGTCTCTTGGCGCTGCCAGATGCTGAGCAGATGAAACAGGGTGGAGCAGAGTCAATGTTCTCTCGCGATGATACGGATTACTCTGTACACGGGATGTTTAACACACATACGCCGTACTCCGTAGATATAGCAGAGTGACTCGTCACATGGATTGCCATATCTCACACTCCCTCTCTCCACCTCTCGGGATAGTATATCCATCGCACCCAGATGTGCTCCGTACGAGTAATCTCCCCAACAACCTCCTGTCAGCCCGTAGCAAGGTACAGTAGTCCATCGTGGCCCCTGTCCCACTCTCGCTGGCCCCGGCAATCCTGGCGAATGCACGTCGCGCGATATTCGCCCTCTGCCAACCAGCGCCAGCCGCCGCCCTCCACCGCCCGCCAGCACGCCCAGCGGTCCCCTGTCTGCTGGCCGCCCGTTTGCAACTTCGCAAGGCATCCCGCCCATGCCATTGGCTGGCTTCGTTTAATGAAGCTGGGTCCTTTTTGATTCTCTGATGTGTATTACGTTTACGCATGCTGACATCGTACTGTACATACGCAGAACACTCAACTAACTACACTTAGTACAGTACATTACGCAGTAGTAGGACGGGTACGCCTGCACTGGACCCAGGCTGTATGGAAATCCTTTTTACACATTGCATGGCCAGCCAGAGAAAAGATAAATCATCTTCGTGATGCGTGATGCGTGATGCGCTGGAACGACTGGAACGAATGGAACGCATTCGTGGTGCTGGAAGATGCAGGTACAACTGTGCTGATACTGGGGTACAGTACGTTGTCCGTGTTGTTCGTGGTCAACGTGGTGACGAAATGATCATGTCCCGAGAGCGCAGTAACACACATAACATACCCATATACACACAACACTCGCAGGCATTCATTCAGGTTTGCTTCTGTTAAGTCAGGTTATAGTTACAATTATTCATCCTCCATGACTCTGGAAAGAATCCCCGCCTGCTCTCCCGCCATCATGCTTCATATCACATCCCATGGTGGATGTGGGATGTGGATATGGATGCGTGAAAAACGAAACGCCCTTGCTGTTGCGCTGTTGTTTCAGACCAAGAGTCTGGCCACGGAGTGAGTTGGTTGGCGTCAGAGGTGGGTTTTTGGTTTTTCTCGCTGCATGGAGCATGACGATGCAGGGTTCGCTGTTTGGCTTTTTTTTTTTTTTTTTTTTTTTTTTTTTTTTTTTGGTTGTTATTTACTCTTTTCCTCGTCCTCTTCATTTTTTATTTTTATTTTTATTTGCTCGCCCCACATCACCTTACGCAATACATCCTTGGGCGTGGACTCGGCTCGTCCATTTTGAAACTTGTCAGATGGTTAAGAGAGGGTCGAGACCCGAGAGTGAGGAAGTTGAAACGGAGAATGGACAGAGACAGAGAAAGAGAGGGAGGGAGGTAGCCAGAGAGAGAGAGAGAAGAAGAGAGAAGAGAGTTGAGTGACACCTCCTCCAACTTATCGATAAGATATAACTCCGTACATACATGCGCATCATCGCGCTGGTTGGGTTGGGAAAACCTGTTGTTACCCACCAAAATACATATATACATCGTCGTCATACGATGTCCACACCGTTATCCTGAATCCCGATGATGAAAATGGAAGGAATCCCTTCCCCATCAACCTCAGCCGGCCTTGATTTTATTTTATTTATTTACGCCTGATGATAACGCTCTCTGCCTCTCGACCCCCGCCAGCCCCCATCGCTAGAGATAGTGATGATATGATGATGCATATCGGTCGGATGGGCAAGGTATGAGAGAGTGTGGTTGGTGGGTTATTTCTTTCCATGGTGATGAACCGTATCTCGCTCATATCCCTCCATAATCTTGTACAGTACATCGATCGTAGATGCAAGGATGGAGGGGAGGTATGGGGATCAATGCGGTCATTACAGTGGACGAGAACAGCCTATCCTGTTTCTTGGCGGCCATTCCAGCAACCATTAAATGGATCTGCTTCGAATCATCTCGGCGTGCACTTGCTTATATACCTATGGCCATTTCCCCCATGCCGGAATCGATATACGTGTAGATGTACATGTAGATGTATATGTACAGTACATGCATACATATACATGCTGCATTGCATTCGCTGCGCGCGTGGTTTGCTGTGGAGGAGATGTCATGATTAAATAGATATGCAACTGCAGCAGCACGGGGGATTTACTTTATTTGGTCGGGATGCGTTCCGAGCTGTTTATGGAGCAGTATAATGAGAATATCATAAACTCATTGTTAACTATGCTTTCCAACTTCTGTTCTATGCGAGAGAGTATATTCCATCTTGCCTGCCATCAATGATGCTTATATATAGAACCCCTATCATGCACACGCAAACAAACAACTTGATGAGAGTCTTTTGATTCTTTGTACGGGACTGGATGCATTCCTCTTACCTTCATCAAAAGCAAAGATCAATAACTGCGTTTCCTCCATAGGCAAGTTTAATTCAGCATGTCTATGTATTGATGGATGGATGGATGGATGGATGGATGGATGGATGGATGGATGGATGGATGGATGGATGGATGTATCTATCTGGAAATCCCAATTGCATCGCGTCATTAAACCCCATGCATCCGATGTCCCCCTGTCTCTCTTTACCCGTAGTTCCAACTCAAATAATCAAAATATATACCACCGTCGTCACATGCGCAGATATTTATTTAACCTTCCAAGGAAGTAACCCCCAATGCCCAGGACCAAGGACCAAACCCCCCGGACCTCGCGACAGCTTTGGCTCCCGTTCTAACGAAGCACAGAACAGAGCTAGCTACTTACCTACCAGGACTAGGGATGGGGAAACTCAAATGTTTCTCTCTATCCGCTTTGCAACTCCCCACAAGTTTTCGTTGGTGCCTGGTTGTTGTTGTTGGTTTGTCCCGGGCTAGATTTAAAGGGAGCTTCTCGGCGCGCCCCTGGCTCGCGGTTTTATCTTATATCAACTTATCGGGTATATATATCGGTATATATGTACAGTACATGTACATGTACATGTACTGTACATAGAATTATGAGTTTAACTGAGGCCGGGACGGAACCCAGGTTGGGCAGAATGTTCACTTCGGTAAAACCTGTCTGTGCCTATGCGTCCGTAGGTGCATTGTACAGTACATACATGTACATGTACAAGACTTCGTTGGGTGTAACACATGGAACGGTGTTAAAAGAAGTTGGATGGCGGGTCCCCACGCAAACGAACAACATGAGGTCGGTGGCAAAAATGTGTAACTATGAGAAGAAAATATAACATCGATCTGCGCAACAGTTACATCGGAACCCGACGAGCCCCGGCACAATTTCAAGCAACTTCATCCAAAAAGCAATAATAATAAAGGGAAAAAAAAGAGAGAATAGAGGAAAGACAACTTTGGAACTTTCTCTGGCTAGGGTCGAATCCGTTGTTTTTCAATCTTGAATCTCGAATCTCGAATCTGGAATCTCGAATTCCCTCCCCATGGAACATAGTTAGCAGTGGCTGGTGGATTCTGATCCCCCTTTCCACCACTCCTGTCCAGTCCAGTAAATAAAAAACCCACGCTGTTTGCAGTTGCGTTTTGTATCAATCCGGGGAATTAAAAAAAATAATCGTAAGCAGTAGAAATAGGAAAAATGATGAGAGAGAGGTAAAAAAAGAAAATGAAAAGAAACCAACGGAATCCTCCATCTGTTTGCTAATAACATATTAGAGCCACACAATATCGTTAGCTACCCATTCAGATATCAATAACCCGACACGTCCCCGCCTCACAGACAAGCAAGTAATTCTTCCCAGGTCGGATATCTCTCAGCAACAAATTGCGCGTCCGCAACCAGTTCGACTTCTGCGCGCTTTCGGACACAGTGGTATCGCCGGTGGTGCGTACATCGATGATAGAAACCACCGCCGTGGAAGTGGACGCTGCGGACCCTGCCTCCGCGCGTGCTCTTCGAATGACCGCTTCGCGCGCTGCAAGAGGAGATGCCCCTGTCGTCGCCCTTAACCCTTCCTCTACATTCTCTACACCAGCATCGCCTTCACGCGCCGCTTCCCTCTCATCCTCACCCAGTCCCACATCGTCATTCTGCCCAATAACTCCCACAACCCCTTTAACCCCCACCTCCAGCCCGACAACGGCATCCAGCAACCCGACGAAGAGGAATGGGTGCTGCATGACCTCCACAGCGAAGGCGCTGACGGTGTCTCGTGCCAGGCGCCTGTAAGTGTCGTCTTCGAGGAGGGTGGAGAGGCGGAGGAGGTTTCGAGCGATGACGCCGTTGGGTGATGGCGTCGAAGCGTCTGTGCCGGCTTTGAGACGGAAGAGAGGGGCTGGATGTGTGGGGGTTTGGTGGAGGGTCGAAGGGGTAGTGTAATAGCCTGCAGAGGAGGACTGGGGTGTTGTGGTGTCGATGGATGTGGATGTGGATGTGGATGTGGTCGTTGTTGGCGATGGGGTTGCGGTTGGACCGGGGGCGAGGAAGTATATGTTCAGGTATCCTGAGATAGTTAGATGTTGCAAAGTTGGATACGAAGAGGATTCTTTCCGAGGGTGGTAATTCTGACTTACGTTGCAACTGCTCCGCGAATTGTAAATAACTGTCATCGAACGTTGCTTCGTAGAGATCAATAAGTCCAGAGATGAGATACGCATAATCGTCAGCGAAGCCGGGGGTATCCCCCCTTTCTTCACCACGGTATATACGCCAGAGTTGACCAGATGCAGGATCGAAGAGGCTCTGCCTGATAAACTTCGCTGCATTTTCTGCAGCCAGCCTGAACTCCTGTGCCTTGATTCTATCCACATTATCGAGGACAACACTGCATTTAGCCAGCGCGCCAATGGCGAGCCCATTCCATGCTACGATAATCTTATCATCCAGCGCGGGACGTACCCGTTTGCTTTCCCGATATTCCCGTAACTTCTCTGTGGATGCCTTGATGATTCTGACAACTTCCTCCTCACTTAATCCGAACTCCTTTGCGAGTTTTCCAGGTGTAGTCTGGATGTTGAGGACATTTTGATTGATGAACTCATCATGTGGATCATTTACTCGCTCAACGTTTCCATCTGGCAGAACACCCCAGTGACGGGCACATACGTCCGCATCCCGTTGGCCGAGAATCTGTTTGAATTCCTTATGTGTCCATACGTAAAAGGCGCCTTCTCTCTTGTCAGTGTCGCTCGGGGTAGGCAGGCTGTCCGCATCTTCCGATGAATGGAAACCACCTGTTGGTGAGAGTACTGGAGGACTCGTGATATAAGCCGCAATGTCATACATAGCTCCCAGAAGCTCCGGGTCGTGTGCAGAATCGAAGGCATCAGTGTAAACACCTAGCAACTGGGCTTGGTCGTACAGCATTTTCTCAAAATGCGGTAGACTCCAGTCTGTCGTCACGCTATACCGCGCAAAACCATGTCCTATATGGTCATGGATGCCTCCCCGAGATATAGAGATAAGGGTTTTGATAGCCATTTCAAGAGCATGGGCACATTCCTCGTAGCCCACAATGTCAGCGACGGCGCTGGGAAAACGGGAAAGATTAACCAGAAAGCTCAAATTAGCCGGAGTAGGGAATTTAGGCGCCCGTGAGAATCCTCCATTGACAGGATCATAACGCGAAGCAAAATGTTTATATGCCTCTTCCAACAGCTCAACTTCCAAATCCTCCTCCTCATCCGCACCCGCACCCCTTAGTTTGGAGTAAGTACCTTCCTCCGCAAACTCCTGGAGCTGCCTCGTAATATCTTTTGCACTTTCGCGACACCTCAACTGCTGCGTTTGCCACACGTCTCGTAGTTTTTCTAAAATGTCGATAAAGGTGACCTGCCCCTCTCCACCAAGTGTGGAGGACGCACTGGAATGCGGGCCTGGCCAGTATGTGCCTCCAAAGACCGGTTCTAGATCCGGCGTGAGGAATACGTTTAACGGCCATCCGCCAGAACCTGTTGTGGCCTGCACATAGTTCATGTATACATCATCGATATCTGGTCGTTCTTCTCGGTCGAGTTTTATAGGGATAAATGCCTTGTTCAGTATAGCCGCAACCTCAGGAGACATGAACGACTCTTTCTCCATAACATGACACCCTGTGCCGAAAATTGTCAGTTAGGCATCCCTTCCAGCGGACAGAACGGATAGAGCTACAGACAGTGACATGCAGAATACCCAATACTTAAGAATACCATGCGGTTGAGTTTCTTAGCCAAAGCAATTGCTTCCGCATCCCACATTTGCCACGCAACAGGGTTATTCATGTGTCCGCGAACCTATACATACAATACTATTAGCATTCTTTGTTCCCTTTGAATAATACTAGCAACTATCTATCTCTTTCCCCCAAAGGACAGGTGTATTTACATATGGTGATTTGCTTTGATTGAGGCGATTGACAAGCTCATGGGATGTTCCCGTTGCGATCGCCGACTCCGTTTCTTGCCGCTTCGATAAGGAAGCCATGTTGGAGGATGCTCCAAAATTTCGTATGAAGGATGGTCTCGCAATCCTATAAATATTTATCCTAGCAGCTGCAAATACCGATTTATAGATCATGGAATGGGCACGTTATCGGTGCCGGGATATGTGGGCGATTTTTTTTTTCAAAAAAAAAAAACAAATAAATTTGGTGAGGACGACTGGTTGGCAAAATGCACTAGTAGATTAACCCTAAATGGATGAATTGAAGGGAGAAGGCTGCTGTTTATTTACTGTCATGCTTTGGTGGTGGTTTCCAGCAATCTAGAATAGAACAAAGAGTGGGAAACAACGTAAATAAACCCCTAATTTGTATGCGTTTTGATATAGCATCCACGGATTGCGCGAGATGTGGAGATCGTTATCGGATGACGGGGGGTTGACATCATATATCACGTGATATAATACACTGTAAGAGGGTTGAACCTTGGTTGGTTATTATGATCTATCTAGTAACTAGCGGCAACTAATATATGTGTGTGCGTCACGTGGGATAGGGCTTGTGTAGTAGCTCCAACATACACAGCTACTTCTATCATAGTCTGTAAGATGGGGGTGCGGCCACTCAGAGCATCCCATTTTCGTCGCTGTTTTAAGCTCATTCCTGGACACATGACTCAAACCTACGCCACTTTTATAAGTTGTTCTAATTGCAATAGACATGCACTGGCGATTTTGGAATCAAAGCAGATGATCTAGAAGAACATCTATTTCAGATCTTTGACCTCATCTGTTGCTGAGATGCAATATTGCTTCTGAGCAAAGCTGATGTCTTTCTGAGCAAATGTAGTGTCAACAGCCTACATCACAACACTCTCATGTCTGTGTTTCTCCACTCAATCAAGTATTTTGAAGAGATCATGTTTCTTACTACCAACCAGCACACCACATTGGACCCAGCAATGCAAAGTCAGATACATGTTGGTATAAAATATAAATCCCTGAGTTTGGAAGTCAAATCCTGAGTGTGGAACAAACAATTGAGCAATGCTGGTGCTAAAATCTTGAAAAAAGAGTTGAAGAAACTGCTGAATAAAAGCTCAAATGGGCGACAGGTAAGCAGTCAATATCCATATCTTGTGCGGTGGCTGACATGGCAATCCAGATCAAGAACATTGCCCGAGCTGCATTTGCGCTGGCCAAGGGAGGGGTGGTCACCATCCACGCATATCGAGACAGCTCTGAACTGCGCCGGAGGATTTGATCAGGACTTCCATGGCGCGGGAGCGCTTGATAATATGAGAGCATGCACATGACGATTGATCGGTATGCTATGATTGATCGCGGCTATTGGTGATGGTTTCCTTTTTAGTAAATGTATCTCGGGCTTGGAAATCGCCTGCATCAGCCGATCTTCAGATTGGAATTTCGTGGGATATTGAACTGGTGCAGTCCCATTTGGATGAATGGAACTTCTTGTACTTTCTATGACGTAAGCTGATCTGCAAGTCTTGGCGAAACGCCAGACGAAGATAAAATAAACTCCAAGTCAGTATGATGTATTTCTGTAATTAGCAGTCTTCATGATGTATTTCATCTTTCCGTAGCTGCATATTGTTAGGGAACCTTCCAGATGCTTCTATGCCAGAGGTAGCAAGAAAAGAGCAACATTAAATGCCTAATTCGGAGACTCGGTCCTTCGCTTTTCCTCCACTCCTGCATTGTTTTGAATAGTTCTATTAAGAGCCGACCTCAATATGAATCCAGACTGAACTCAGAGAATTTCCTAGAGCGTACTGTACAGTACTGTAAAACTTATCATATCTTTTGAATGATAAGAATGACCGCAATTAAGAGTAAAATGACCCCTATATTATTGAGGTATGTAGGGTGACCTAGGCTACGCTATCGACCGCGGGGCCAAAAAGCGGCAATCTTGCAGTCACTGACCCTCGTTGGAAATATCCAAGGAGGCCCTGGGGACCTACCTTTCAAGCCAAAAGCAGCTCACACAACGTTTAAATTTTTTGCCACCCCATTTTGCGCTCACATGAAAAATATCCCAGTTCACCAAGACCAATCAAGCTACTTTGTGCTGGAGTTGACAAATCATCCCAGTCCGAAACAGCGAAAAACGATCATTTTTTATTTGGCTTAGGGTTTTGGGAGCCGAGGCATGATCACCCAAAATCGAGGAGAGAATTTGCAGACTGCAAGCCAGCGATTGGTTTCACAATAAATACAACATAAAACCGCCTGTTACTCTGATATTCTGATCAAATGCTCCATTATGCAAACATTAACCATGGGCCGACCACAGTAACCTTGTCGCAGATGCGTTATCGGTGGAAACGCATACTACTGCGTATGCCGTTAGGGATAGTTTTTAGTTGGATCATATATGGTAACACCAGGAGCGTACTTTTTCATCACTGCCCCATTTCTATTTAGAATTAGCATTGGCGATATAAAATTCCTTATGTGTGTGAGGTGGGGTTGATCGGGAACAGCCTTACAATCATAACCAATTTCTCAGGCAGTGTACAACATTTGTTAATTAATCAAAATTTTGACCAAATCTCCTTAGACTATAGGATTGTTTTTTATAGGGGAGGACTGCGAGGAGAGGGGATGATGGGGATCTTCCAATCATGATTCGCTTGCTACCCCTCCAGTGATTTGCGGGCTTTATCATTGGCTCATGTGGGACAGTGGTTCTTTCCAGATTGGTTTCCAAGGCTGCAGGCGGCCTGTATTAATCCTAAATGGGAATAGCCGATGTTCCTCAAAATACGATTTCAATCCCTACCTTGTTCGCGCGTATTACCATTCCATCGCGATCGAATAGGATTAATCTCAACCTGGTTCCTCACTCAGCGGCTCTATCCGTTCCCAAATTCGCGTTCTGCATCAAAGCCAAGTCGGATCAACCATTTGACCATAATCCTCCCTTCCTTTGATTATATATACCAGCATCCGTTCCCAGCGAGCTATCTTCTCTTGCAAGTATCATACATCATAACTTCCTAACATTTCTGCATTTTTGTTCCGTGTTTGCTTCCCATTCATCATGTAAAATTAGCATACCAACTGAACTTTTCTCCCTTTACAACTCGCAGTTTACCTGCACCAACTCAACAGTCTTTTATACCATCAAAATGGCAGGACTTTCACAAGAAGATCGCGACGTTATCGAGAACCATCCTCTAACCAACTCAGTCAATCGTTTCCAAGGTGTGCTTCAGGAAGCTGAAAAAATCTATGAGTCACGCCTAATTTCCTATGATGGCGCTGTTGATAGCCTTGACCAACTCTATCGAAATGCAATTTCAAAACTCCTGTCTGCTTTACAGGGAGAGGATGCAGTTTACAAACTTCGCTCACGGATAAGTGATAGAAAATTGGTGTCTGATATAGCACACTTAGTCGAGTGTCTCCAAAAAGCAAAAGAAAACTTCAAGTACGATGACTACCGGCCGTTAGTGCACTTGGTTATTCAAAGGCCTCCGACTGAATCCCAGCACATTGCAACCTGGAACTTCGATGTCTGGAAAGCTGTATTTAACCTCATTGACAACATCCCTCGATCAACTCCTCCGGCGAGCGTTCCCCCCTCCTTTGACAGCACCCCAGTCAGATCCACCTCATCATCGCAGAAAGGTTCTGAGCAGACGCGTGAGTTGGTGAATCTGAGAATCTTTGGGGAGATATGTGGCTGCACATTTCAAGATGTTGAGGGCTTCTTCAACAAGTACTTTGAAGGGAAAGACTGGAGTGACAAAGCAGATGCCATCTGTCGACGCGTGCTGAACCCAGACAGTGATGGTGATTGGGCCCAGTTTCCTGATCCTCCTACGCAGGACAATGTCCTTGCCTGGTGGTTCCGTCTTCAAAAAGACCTTCTCTCGGAATCACGCAGCACCTACCACACCACAGCAAGCAAAGCAGATCTTACCAGTTCTAAGGCAAAACGGCAAGTCAATCTCCTTCTGAGAGCTAGAAGTACAAGCCCCTTGCAAAACAAACACAACTGGAGAGACATCCTGGTGGTTGGCGAGCTTAAAAAACCTGAGGAGAAGCTCGGGACCAAAGCCACATTACTGCAGATAGGCTGCTACGTGCGTGAGGTCTTTGCTGCACAGCCCACACGGCGGTTCGTCCACGCATTCACTGTCTGTGGGACCAAGATGGAGGTGTGGGTGTTTGACCGCTCAGGCCCTTACAGCTCGAGCATCATCGATGTCTCTGTGGACTCAAGACAGTTCTTTCAGGTGCTTGTGGGCTACACCATGATGAGCGACGAGGAGCTGGGAGTGGACACCTTTATTGCTAGGGATGAAGACGGCGGCAAATCAATAACTGTCAAAGGACCTGGGAACTCAGAGGAAATGATGCTGCGGCTGAGTGAAATGCTTTCTTTTCAACCTGCCATTGTGTGTCGCGGGACCACATGTTTTCTCGCAGACTATGGACAAGTGAAAGGTGTAGCCAAGTTCTCGTGGGTATCAGACAAGCGGCGCCCAGAGGTGGAACTCCTTGAGCTAGCGTGTCGAAAAAATGTCCAAGGGGTCGCTAGGATCATTGGCTATAGTACCATCACAAGTATCGCCAACATGCGCAGCGGCCTGACCTTCGTTGACAAGCGCCACGACTTCAAAAGCGCACCCCCCAGTACAATCTCCTCATTTCATCAATCTCAGCCGCTCACCGAACCCTGTCGCTTGGATATCCGTCGAAAATCATCTTCCAGGAAACGCAGATCTCCGGACAAAGGGATGCAGGTGTCCAAACGATCGCGTTCCATCGATCAACCGTCAAGGGACACTCAGCAGGAGAATGAACTAGCTTTCTCCGTTCAGTCGGCGCACGAGCCAAGCCTCTTTGACAGGAATGGTGAGGAACCCTACGACAACCGTGTCCTCCGCTGTCTGGTGATATCGCCCGCTGGCCGGCCGATCTACAAGTACAAATCACCCTCAGAGCTGCTCATAGCGCTTCGCGATGCAATAAAGGCCCACCGTTCTCTTTACTTGGATGGAAACATCCTTCATCGGGATATTTCAGAGAACAACATAATAATCACCAATCCTGAAAAGGCAGGTGGTCACTCTGGCATGCTAATTGATCTAGACCTTGCCAAAGAAGTTGGAAGCGGGCGAAGCGGCGCACGCCACCAGACCGGCACGATGGAGTTCATGGCGATCGAGGTGCTGCTTAATATCGACCACACCTATCGGCATGATCTCGAATCGTTCTTCTACGTCCTTATCTGGCAATGTGCCCATCACGGTTGGGAAAAACTAGATGAGCTACAGAGGCAGAGACAGGATCGGCCGAAAGACAGCATGTTGAAAAAGTGGTATAGTAGCACCTTCAGGGATATTGCAACTTATAAACGAGGCAACATGGAAGCTGGCGGATTTGAATACCTTCTGCAAGAGTTTCCACCAGGATTCGAGTGCGTCAAACCCCTCTGCAGGACCATACGAGGCGTGATGTTTCCTCATGGGAAGGAAGGACTTATTGTTGGAACACCGCAAGACCCAAAAAGGCTATATGATCCTATTATTAAGGCGTATGATGATGCGATAGCTCTGATTGAAACCGAATATGAATAAGTATCGTTTATATTAGTTAGCCTGCTCAATGCATACCAATTAGTCTACATAACTAGGCCATTTTTACAACTCAAGGCAACAATGTTCTGAGCCCAGTTTCGTTGCAAACTTCAAATCATTCGAAAGTCGTGGTGGAGAATTTATTGGCAAAGTGTGTACAGATTATACCTAGGTACCTATACCCGTGGACTTGACAGAGATAGTACTTGTGAAGTAATAAGAGTGTTGGTATTTTACACGTTTCTAGATAATAAGGCACGCATGAAGCCGGTGAATCATTGCTCTTTGATTCTCTTGCGGGCTTGAACTAAAACGGTTGCTCTCTACGCCCTGGATGATCACCAACCAACAATTGGATACTGTCCGTCACCGGAGATGAGCTGATCGGCAAGTCTACAAACCAATCACCTGACAACGGGAATTCAACAGGAGATATAGGCTTTATCCTTTAATTTTTGAATATGCCCCATTTTCATACGTGTTGACGCCAACCTAGTCATCGCCCATCAACCCCGCAAGCTCCCTCTCCTCTTCCTCAGTCAACAGTGACTCCTTAAGTCCATCATCAATTACTTCGTCCTCCTGGGATGCCCTTTCAGCTTTTGCTTTGGCTATTTCAAGCTGAGTTGGGTCAAGCGACCACTGCCGTATGGTGGCATCGATACTGACACTAACAACCGTCGTCCCAAGTATTAAGATCCCAGTCACTTCTTCAAAATGGCCAGAGAATGAATGATGCAACTTTCCAGTCTTCTGCCAGTCAGTAAACACGTACATTTGAAAGGGGAAAGCGGTGAAACAAGAAAAGGGAAAAAAGAAAATGCTCACCGCACGATTCCATACACGCACTTCCTCATCTCTACATCCCGTAACCACCCAGCCACCCTGTTCACACACGGCAACATCCCTGACAAAGTCCGGATGGTCCAAAGTCATGTCCGCTTGCCAGTTCGCTTCTCTGGAGAGACATTTAGCAGTTTTATCTGCCGAAGCTGTCCACAAGTCACCATCTGCATCGAAGAAAAGCTTATAGACACTAGTCTCATGTTCCAGTATCGGGGCTGACAGGGATTGTTCCTTAAAAGGGGTGGAGAGAGAGAAGTAACGAATGCTGCGATCACTTCCTGCGCTGAAGACATTAATTCGCTGCAGATCCTCTTCAGAAACAAGAGGATCGACCGCAAGATGTAGTACTCCACGGCTGTAATCTTTGAAGACATGTGATCTTTTGCCAGCGCTGATGTTCCAAATGATTATTTCACCATCCGCACCACCGGAGATGAGTAAATCGTCACCATCAAGTTTCTGAGAGATAACCGTTTTTACAAAGTCTGTGTGGCCATGGTATCTATGTTTTTGCGTTCGCGAAGTAACGTCCCAGCTCCATATAGTCTTGTCCCAGCACCCAGCGAAGATAGTTGTGCCGTCGGAGGAAAAGCATATACTGGTTAATGGGGCAGTCGGTCCCCTGTAAAGGGTAGCAGTTTCACCTGTCTTTAAACTCAGAAAACCATTAGCATGCAAGATAATCAATAGAAATGAATAAAAAAAAGTCCCCCACTGAAGGGGGATTCGTTTATGCTCACCTACTTCAAGCACCACTTTTCTGAGAAGGCCTGCACTCTCAGCAACATAGACAGAGGAATCGCTAGTGGGATCAGCGGCAATCGCTAATAGTTTACTTTGAAGTTTGATGGGGTGGCCATTCGAGTTTCTTGCTTTCTCGGCTTTGCGACGGGATTCCTCCAGCGACGTTCTAGGAGACAGTCAGCAGCCTGGCCACCTTGAGCTGGGAGAGATAGACGGAAGGCGAACGTTGTCTGAAAGAAGTCATCTCGATGGGAAGATTGTGCCATGGTTGCGACCTGGGTATTGAGGCCCACAAAGCTACAAAGCCGCAAAGCCACTCAGACTATCGGTCTTATTGGATCTCCTCTGGCATCAACTCGCTCCCATCTAAATTCTGCCAGAGTGTACCAGCAACGCTAGTCCTAATAGGGCTAGAATACACTGCGGAAACTGCACTTCCGCCTTCCCGTAGCAGCCTTCTGTCCACAACCTCTGCTGGATTTTCATCCTCCATCCTCTTCCTCTTCCTCTTCCCTTCCTCTCTCCACCTCACCTCTCCCTAATCCCTCCCCCCTCTCCTTAATTCTGCTCTCGAATTCAATTCCACCCTCACCACTCTAACCCGCTTTGATTAGTTTGTTCTCTTCTTCCATTGTTCGCCTCGTCATTTTCAGTGTTCGGAATCCTGTATACTCTTTTCTTACTGTGGTGCGTAGCTACGCGCAGAGCCTCGATTCATCATGGATATGAACCATTTCATAGGGTCCGTCGTTCCCCATTCCCTTTTATTGCACACGCCTGAAGATTGAATTCTCCAAAGCTAACTTTAAGCCCATAGACAGCGGTTTAACTTGATATCGAAGAGTGATATTCGGTTCGAGCGACTCCTTCATCCTGTTGATGATCCGTAGGCTCTGGAGCTGACTGGTATCACAGCTACGTTGGCACTCTCCATGAAATAAACCCGGAGGACTCCACCATTGCCCTGGAGAATGTCGTTTCACACGGCACAGAAGGAAGACGTGGCAATCCCGCAGAGGAAATTGCCCCTTCTGCAAGCGTGTACGAATATATTGTCTTCCGTGGAAGCGATGTAAAGGATATTAGTGTTGCGGAGGAGCAGAAAGAGAACCAGCATCCCGAACCTCCTCAAGTACCCAATGATCCTGCTATCTTAGGTGTAAGTCAATCATATTGTTTTCTATTATGGTGATCATATGTCAAAAACTCGCCTCTCCGTCGATCTTCTGATGAAACATTCCGGATGTAAATCACAGACCTGTTCTGAAAGCGCAAAACCATGTGGATTCTTTCCGTTGCCTTCCTTCTGATCAAGATCCTATTTCACATTTTATTTAAACACCGTCTTAATACTGCTTTGGAACTAACCATTGGAAACATGGCTAACCAACCGCGTTGACAGAGTGGAACACGACCAGCACCTGCCCAAGGGCCTCCTCGCGTTCAATCAAATCAGTTTCAACCACCCAATGCTCCCCGTCAACCGCCGCCCGGTTACCCGCAGCAAACTCCGTTCCCCGGATATTATAACCCATATGGTCAGCGATTCGGCCCTCCTGGTTTTCCCCCTGGTCCTGGCTTTCCTAATGCTCCTTATGGTGGCCCGCAAGGATGGTACCCTCCTCCTGGCCAAGGCTTTCCCCAACCCCCTGGCCAATACCCTCCACCACAAATGCCTATTGGCCATCCTCAACAACCCCAGCAAGCACAGCAGCAGCAACGCGATGGCGGTCCTCAACCTCCTCAGCCAGCAAATGTACCAAAGCCAACTTCGGAGCTGCCAGTCGGTGATAAGGTACCTGGCAAACCTGTAACTCCAGCATCCTCCCAGCCCCTTCACCCACCAGAACCAAAGTCCTCCACCCCTAAACCCACCGCTCCTTCGCTCCCAACAACAACAAAAATAACGCAGAAACCAGCCACAGCACCCACTGCACAGCCATCGCTGCCAGCAGTGGCTGCGCCCACATCCAAGACCCCGCCCAAGGGGCCACATGCTGGGCCAAAATCCGGAAGGGTTGTACCTGCTATCCCTATTTCAAAACCAGCGGTTTCTTCCACAACCACCGCATCTGCTACTGCTACCTCAGGTAATGCTACTACGCAGTCGCCTGCGCAAAATACCAGAGCTACTTCTACAGCGATGCAGGACGCAACTCGAGCGGCTACTGCTGCTGTGGCCGCTGCCATGGCCAAACTTCCTCAGCCTCCAACTCAGGGCTCGCAGCCAGTCGAAGCAGCGATTGAGTCAGTAACCAAAAAAGTAAGCGAAATGAAGCCGTATGAGGGAGACCGGGCTCCTCGTGGGGGCCATCAAAACGCTCGCGGCGGTCGGGGTGCTCATCGTGGAAACCATCACCACCCTCAGCATAAGAAAGTTGAGGTTCCTACCGCTGACTACGACTTTGAATCAGCAAATGCCAAATTTAACAAGCAAGATCTCGTGAAGGAAGCGATTGCCTCTGGATCGCCACTTGGGGAATCTGAACATAAAGCAGTGAACGGCACAAACGGGACTGAAGGTGCAGACAAAATCAATGGAACTGGATCTCACGTCGCCTATAATAAAGCGTCTTCCTTTTTCGATAACATCTCGAGCGAAAGCCGCGATCGCGAAGAAGGTTCGCGTGGCAAGACGAGTGGTAGGGAGTGGCGCGGTGAGGAGGAGAAGAAAAATATTGAGACTTTTGGCCAAGGAAGCATTGATGGTGGCTACGGTGGTGGTTACCGGGGGCGAGGGAGAGGTCGAGGTTATGGTGGATCTCGCGGTGGCAGAGGTTCGTACACTCGAGGCTACGCTGGCGGGCGTGGACGAGGAGGTTTCCGTGGCGGGAGAGGCGCATCGCAGGCTACCGGGGTTCCAACTTCGTCATAGACACTGCTGTCCTACATTCGACCTTGCTCTCCCTTCCGTCGGTGATGCCATTTTCTAAATCCTGTATCAAATGGATATACCCTTTTGAAATACTTTTTGCTACGTTGTCAGGGAGAACAAACCTTTCAATTGTACGACGGATAGCGCTTCCTTCCGCGTGATTATTTGACACTTTTGGAACTTGACCTGGTTCCCTTTGTTTCCGCCTGTGATATTTTCCCGATCACCATTGACGACTGTATTACTTTGATCTTGTTTTTCTTTTTCTTTTCTCTTCTCTTCTCTTTTGTTTTTTTCGTTTTGGCAATGTACCTTGAGTGTCCTGTTGTCTGCCTATTCGTCCCGCACGTCAAATTTTTCTGGCGTTGGGCCGCTTCAAACCCATTCCCATATCATCTGGCGGGTTTTTGTTTGCTTTCTTCTTTCAATAATTAACGACACGTTGTTACGTAAGTTGCGGGCTATATATGTTCACTTTTTTCACTGATTATGGCGTGGTACGGGAGCGGGGAAGGCGGTTTGGGCTATTTGCGAAATTCAAAAATGACCTTTTATCTATAATCCTCCCTTTTTTCTTCGCTCTATTTTCTTCCTTTCCTTCTTTGGCGATGGGGATGGGTGGATGCATCAAGAGCTTCTCGGCAGGCCGCTCTTCTTCGATTAACTATTATGGGATGAATTAGCCATGTTTTATTCTTCTGTTATTTCGTGTTATCTTTGTTTTTGCTTTTTCCTTTTCAATGATCTGTTGATGCCAACACAACTTCTCTTTCCATGCATCTTGTTCATGTACTTTCTTTTATATTCCCATTTGCCAGTTTAGTTTCTTCCCCCTTGTTATGGAATCAGTCCTTTCACTTGTTGTGTTGGCCTGTTTTTATTATCACTATCTCTCCCCTGTTTGCTTGCTTACTGATATGGGATATATCGATGCAGTCAGACATGACATGATGTGTGCTGTTCTCTTTTATTCTCTCTCTCTCTCTCTGTCCTTCTTTCAGAGGAAGTGAATTGTGGTTTTCATCATGGTCTTCATCACTCACTACACTTTTTTGGTTGTCTTGGTGTGTCTTAGAAGGATGCAATCTGATCTCCCATGAAAATTTGCAAGCAAAATATAAAAAAAAATAATGGAAAGAAAAAAATCGAAGTCTATAATAAAAATGACAAAAGGCGCTCAAGAAAGCGCAGTTCGACTTCGAAAATATAGGATCTCTCTTATCCTTTCCTAATGTGATTTTATTATATTTTAAACAAATCAAGACTATTACCTAGCTGGACATTGAAAGGGAGTTTTCGTGTGGAGTAGCATAGGTATGCTGAAGTAGGGACAGACAGCTTGTATATATATCTCTTCTCTCTCTCTATCCCTCGTATAAAAGTAGAAGAAGTGAGGATCAGCGAGCTAGCGCCATATGCAATGGTTGCCGAAGGAGGTGACTAAGCCGCCCAAGCTTGCTGGAGCCGCGGCTCGGACCAGATAGGAGCGGAGGGACTCCAACATGCATTTGAACCTGGTTTTGAACCTGAGAAGAATGCCCTCCTTTCACACCCAACGCCTTCCATCGACCCTGTTGTGTTGCGCATCAGCTTCCAGCAGCCTGCTAGATGCCAGACGCTGCGGCTTCTCCCGCTATTATTCGTTTCTCGGCCTGTTTTGTCTTGTTGCTGGCTTCTTTACGCGGCGTGTTGGCTGATTCATAGATTATCTATCAGGAGGGGGATATACCAACAATACACGGCGAATAAGAGGGTCAAGGAAGAATGGGGGCCCGTTATTAGATGCGGGCGATATCTTGCTCTCCTATCGTTTTCTCTCTTCTCTCTTTTATATATCTCTTTGCTTCTATACACCCATCAATCCTTTCCTTTCCCTTTCCCTCTCCTTTTGCATTTCCCTAACCCAATTTCATTCCCAATTCTTCCTCGTAACCCTTTTCCTTTTTGAATACACCATGTCAGATTCGGTTGGTAAGTCCAATTAATCCCTGTTTCCCCACCAAAGGTCTCCCCACGCCAAAACTAGAAGTTCAAGGCCGTCTCGATATAACACTTGATCACAATGTTTTTACATACCCCTCGCGACTCCCCATTACCTCCCGTACAGTGGAAGAATATTGACATTACTGGTCAAATTCCTTCATCAGATACTAACTATGTTTCTTCCTTCTTCCCTCGCCAGACCGAGTATTCGCTCATGCTCTCAATACCGTCAAGAGAATCCCCCGGTCGGGGTCGGTCAGGCCACCCCTCTCCGAACGGCTGAGGTTATATGGCTTATACAAGCAGAGCATGGGTACTTCTCTCCTCCCCCCTCCCGTCCCCTATACCGCTCAGACCTTCAAGAAAAAAAATAGCAAATGGAAAAGAGAATGGAAAAGAAAAGAAGAATAGTGACAGAGGGAGAGAGCGTCTGCTGAAAGCTTGGTGATGACTTGTGAAAGTGCTGATTTTCGGGTGATTTTCGTGATTTTTAGAGGGCGATGTGGAAGGGGTCATGGATCGGCCTGTCGGTGATGAAACGAGTTTACAAGCTGAGAGAGAGAAATGGTATGAAACGAGCATAAATAAAATCCCCGCTTGTTTTTTTTCTTTTGGCTTGTTTTCTTTCCTTTCCTGTTCGCTTACACCTATAAGAAAAGAAACTTTAACTTGAAACCACGATGTTCACAATGCATGGGTTATCAGCGCCGTCTCAAACACTGAAAAGCTAACATATCTAAAAACCTTCTCCAATAGGGATGCCTGGTACGCACAACGCCAGCTATCACGCACCGAGGCAAAACGCCGGTACATCACTGTCTTACTAGACACAATGAACAAATACGCCTCCTCAACTCCAGAGGCCCGCGAGCTTATCGCCGAGCTAGAGTTCGTCTGGGATCAGATAAAATCAAACCCGTCCTCGTCTTCCTCATCCGGCAGCCCCGTCCACCTCTCCGGCATGTCACAGCCACCATCGCAGCAACCATCACATATGATATCTACAACCCCGCCCTCCCGGTCAAACTACAGCTATGGAAGCATTAGCGGCCGGATATCACGTGCCGAAGCGACGGTGGAGGAAAGGATGGAACGATCATTACCTGCGGAGCGGGATTCGGGATTGAGAGTTCTTAGTCCTGTTAGCCAGCCGGATCATGACATCCCCGGAAGCGGTAGGAGGAAGTATAAGGCACATGGCGAAGGAAGAGATGGAGGAGAGGAAAGAGAATGGGGGAAAGAGGGAGGCGAGGACGAGGAGGATGAAGAGGATTTCCAAGAAGCGCGCAATAGTCCTTATGAAGACGATGATGGTGGTGACGACGACGACGACGGCGACGAAGATGATGATGACGATGGGCGCTCAGATGATATTAATCATACTCGTAATGATACACGACAGCGGGACCCCGGCCGTTCGGACAGAGGAAGAAACCAAGATCGAGACCAAGATAGAACATCCAAAGCCACAGGATATAACCGCCGCTGGCGGCAGCGGTTCGAGCAGGCAATGACGAAAATGACAGCCGAAGTCGCCGCGATGAGAGAGCAGATGGAGGCGCGCGCGCTCAACAGTCGGCATCGCTCGAGTCTATGGGCATGGATTAAATGGGTTGTGTGGATTGTTGTACGGCAAGTTTGCTGGGATATTTTGCTGTTTGGGTGCGTGCTAGTGTGGATGCGGGTTGTGAAGGGGGATAGGAGGTTGGAGGAGAAGGTGAGGCGGCTGAGGATTTGGACGGAGGTGAGAAGGAAATTTGCGGTGCTTGTTGGGAGGGGTGAGGGGAGAGGGTTGGGGTTTCGACTGGAAGGGTTTCCCTAGGTTTTCGGTCTTCTTATAATTTTTGGACGGCGGTGTTCTTCCCTTTCTTTTATGAAGGGCGTAGGTAGGCAGAAGGTATCTATCCCTTCTCTGCTTTCCTTTCTCTTATTATCGATTTCAACCTCTTTTTTTTGGTCAATACATTCCCAGAGGGCCCCGTGCATATATGCGTCCATACCCCCCATATCATTCTGCTGGACGTTTTGTCATGACGTCCATGTATATTTGCAATACATACGTACATATTCTCTACCAAATAACTGTATTATTATATAGATGCATTACTTCATATATCCATACAAGTGTCGTACTCCTTTTTCAAGGACACCAACTTCTCCTTCCAACGGTTGGCACCGAATACCAGACGCAGGGTTCTGGAGAAAATCTGGTTGATAGCGGTTTATCACCAAGGCCCAGCAGCGGAAGCGCGCAAGCTTAGCGCCTGTCCCCCGTTCGACTGATTTCTCCAACAGGCTGGGTTGAAAAAGGTTGAATGGCATGATTGATTGGATGAATCACCTACTGCCTGCTTGGATGATACCTATCACGTTTGCATTCATCTAAGCAGGGATCTTTAGCTTTTTCTTCTTTTTTTTTTTTAAAACACCCTTTCTTTCAAGAATCTCCGTGCCACGCTTAGTTGCCGGCTCTACAATCCCATGCGAGAGCGCGTATAAGACAAGAGTTATACATCCATACAAGCATTTCTATATTTATATGTATCGATATTCGTCTCCCAACCTCAAAAAGTTGGATGATGTAGCTCATCCTTTTCTCTCGTCGGGCACCGGGGTTTATTTCCCTTCGTTATCAGACCAATGTACTCCTGGAAGAAAGCAAGCGAGCGCTTGATAAGATATTCAAAATGGCGAATGATGATGCTCCACAGAAAGAGGCGATGGAGGTTGTTGTTGAGGACTTGCTTGAGTTGTAAATAAGTTGATAGAAGTTTCTTCCCAATTTTCGGACACTCCAGGGGAAGGACAGATGGAAGAAAGAGGGATTGATTGTCTTATCTTGTTTCCCATCTATACTAACTAGCCCTATGTTTAGTTACAAAGAAGCCATGGAGGAGAAGAATTTTAGAGTCAGTTTTGTGCAACTTTAGAACTTTAGCAGGAGGAGGAGAAAAGAAATAAAAAATCATCTCGTGGGAATTTGACTACTTCTCCCCCCGCGCCTACTCTCTCACAACCGTTAGCTGAATAATGCATCTGTTTTATTAAAATATTCCCAACGCCAAAACTGTCTAATATGCTTGGGATGTAGAGGTGGTTATTCATGGTAGGGGAAGCGGAGGGAGTGGGTTGAGCTGTGGCAATGGGCGTGTGGTATATATTTCTGCTTTGAGTGGCCCTTCCGTTGTTAGTTTTAAATATTTATGTGTTTGTCAGTGAGTAGACTGATGGGAGTGCCTGGGTGTATGGTTTCTTCGGATTAGAAAGTGTATAGAGCCACGAGCTGGTCAAAGTGTATTAATATGATATGAATGAACTTCGTATTTGAAAGGAAGAAAAGCAACCATGCGATCATTTCCGAACCAATAGAATATGTATATATATATATATATACAGAGCAGACGAAATCCTTTGTTTTTTCTTGATTTTTCATTATTTCTAAGACACAGGAGAAATCTAATATTGCGGTCCGGAGTAATTCGCGTAGATTTGCGATTTCCGTAGATGAACGGGTATTGTGCCCTTGGGGGTATCGGGGATTTCTTTCTTTAGTCCCTATAAACGCCAGTAAATTATCAGCCATCGAGGTCCATCATGGACATCAAAATACAACACATACAAGCTTTTCAAACACACAAGTATTTAGCGCGTTCTCAGGCCTCCGACATTGCCATAGTTGATGGTTATTCTGTTCTAGACATTCAAAATGAGCCTTAAATTGCTCGAGGCAGTTTTCGTTGATATCCTTGATGCTAGACACAATCATGTAAGACATCAAATTAGCATATTACAAGCAGTTTGCCACAATCAATTTCGAAAAATAAAAGAAGGGTAAAGGAAAAAAAGAACACGTACACACTAGCCGCACAACGGGTGACCTTCCGACCTTCCCTCAGGCAGTCCAGCTCGCCCTTCCCGTTGGACTCCATCTTGCACTTCATATAATCGTCATTGTAAGCCCTGCAGCGGTCGCCGATGAAATACGAAGCGCTCATCAATGGGGCAGATGTGGCACCGATCTCTTTGACCTTGGGGATGTCACTGGGCATGGGGGTTGTGTCGATGAGCACATTTTGATTGAACCTGCATTATCACGAAAGAACGTGTGTGAATGGTCAGCCTGCTGTTTGACACCAGTAAGTAACCTGGCGGGTGGGGAGGAGCAATTGAGAGCCGTACTGAGCTCCGCGGCTCCCAGACATGGTGGCAGACTATGTGCCGTGCACAACTGGAGCCTTTGGGAATGGATATGGGAGGGCGCGAGAGGGATTGAAGGTTTGATTTTGATTCGGCGCAGTTGGGCGTTGGAGCTATTCGCGATGTTCTTTGATGGTTGGAGAAAAGGTTGGAGATGGATAGATTAGCTAAGCAGATAGTTAGCTGGCGCCGGGTTATTGATATCCCGGTCATGTTGGATATAGTTGACTATCAAACCTCCTGAATGGTCCGTGGTCATGTTTGAAAGCTGTAACTACTATTATTGTTACAGATATTGCGGCAAGGGTCTGCCTTTCTCAGTTTCGTATGCAATATCGAAACGGAAATGGAAATGACAAATTCAGTAGATTGGTGTTCTGTTGACTATTTGGAGCAAGTGCAAGCCATCATACTAATTGACCGATGCAAGACGCGGTGCAGCTATCCTTTGCGGGTTGTTGACAGAGATTCTTCCCTGGCAACGTCTTTCTTTCGTCTCTACCTCTCTTCAGAGGAGTGGTCGCTGGGCCAATCCACACTGCTAGGCAATAATCTTCCAAACTTTCTATTCACTACTAAGTTTGTGATAGGGAAAATACCACTTCCTACATATTACGGACGGCTTCCATCAGGCGATTTTGTTTTGTTTTACTTTATTTCTGAGCTCTCTTCCCTTCCACAGAGCTAGCCCATAGCTATTGTGTGAATGTTCAACGGAATATTCTGTTCAATATTACTTTTATTTACTTTTTTTCTATCATTTGAAATTGATTCGTTACAGTTGTCCTCTCACTTGGACTCGCTTGTCGAGGTTTTCCACACTTCGAACAAGAGAATGACGCAGTGAGACTAATTCCCCTCTAATGGAACTATACGCGTGTACTAATGTAAAATCAGATACGAACTGCGGACTGCAAGAGGTAGGTGAAGGCATTCGATCTACCTGTACTTGAATGGGCCCGCAGTTATATCTACTAGCTTCCTTGTGGGGTTTTCTAACTTTAGAATCAAGGGAGATTGAATCTGGAGGATGGGCACCCAACGCCACCATTAGGTAACCTTGTGGACAATCGGAATATCCGAACTGTTTCCCATCAACTGAAAATCTACTGTCAAGGGACCGGCTTTCGGTAGAAGTGAAGGACTGACTGGCCAATTTAGGGCCATCGAACCATCAAGGCGATTCCCCAAGCCCAGTGCGCAGAGGAACCGGGGCCTTGGTGCGGAGAGAGAGGGGTACACCTGTTTGGATTCGAGGCCGTGGCGCCAGAGGCTCGAACCGGCCGCAACACCAAATCGCCGGACCGTTTGATAACAGAGGCGGTCCCCATGCTACGAGTAGGTTGAATTTCATTTGTGCGAGGACCAGTAGTAATACATTTTGCTAATTGTTCTTCGCCGTACATAAAGCCCGAAAGAAGGATGATAATTTTGCCAAAATCACCCGGTACCTCACTGCTAAAGAAATACGCAATGATCTTAACGAAAAGCGCCAGTTGATGATTGAGCAGTACAGGCAGAAGCCTGATCCCTCAATCAAATTTCGAGAAACGGCACGTATAGTGTATATTTATTGTGGTGAATATCTAGAGGGCTAATACGTTAATGAAAACGGTAGATGCTATTCCTATGGCCAGAAGATGAACTTCCACTGGAGATGACCCTTGGCAAAAGCTTGGAAGCCTTGGATCCCATTCGTGCAGATTTCGGCTATTATATTTATTTGTATGATGATTCTCCAGACCACCAGAAATACATTCGAGTCGATGGTGATGACCACGGAAAGATTATCGAGATTGTGAAGCAGCTCCGAGCAAAGTGTGCCAATCTCCTCGCTGAAGCGGGTGTGAAGACGAAATTATATCTTGTCCAGGCCCCTCCCGTGGGTATCTTGAAAGCGGAAATAGGCTTAATGAAATGCCGCCAACCTGGCAGCCCGAATATACAAGCGGCCCCTTTTCTTTGTGGAGTAGAATTGCTGGACGACGCTGGGATTGAAAGGAAAAATCTGCTTTGTGAGAAAAATGAGCAACGTATGCATAGCGCCGTTGACCAGTCTCTTCACGGCGTTCGGTTTCTTGCGGGCCATGTCCGGATGCGTGTAAATTTCGGGAAATTTGTTCTTGAGAATTACCGGATTCCCCCCAACTCGAAAGAGCGGTATTCTTTTGAGGAATTTCGAAGCATGCTTTTGTATGCCGGCACGAAAGGTCGCCTAATTCCCGGGTACGTCTCCTGCAACATAAACGTGAAAGAACTTATGTTAACCTAAAACCATGTGTCTTCAAGACTCTGCTTCAACCGTGCTGAAGGTGACCTGATAACTCGATGCTCACAGGCGTCAGATCTTCTCGCACCATTTGACCCGCAAATAGAATCATTGGAAAACAATATACCTCTCTATGCAGTAAATATCGAATTCGAAGGAGCTAATGGTGCATTGCTTCGCCTGGAAGTTGAATTTAAATCATCCCGTTATCGACCAGACCTTTTTGAGGTATCACATCGTCGTTGGTTAAAGCCTCAAAGTGACAATGGACTCGAAGAAAAGCGACCGCCACTTCAAATTGGGATTATCGACTTCGAAAGGTTTGTGTCTTCTGAGGCCATTCAACCTGGTGTAGAATTTTATCTAACCCCCCAGGACTAGGTCTGATTGGCAGCTGGAAATCAAAGCATTGGATTTCCAGGAACAATCTAACATTGAGCATTCCCTTAAAAGCTTTGACCATTCAATCCAATTCACGAGAGGCCGTACTGATGGACTTCGTGGCGCCGCAACGCAGCGCGTGTCATTTTCTAACATTGCTCCCGTTTCTCAAATCACAGAGAAGTCGGCCCTTAGATATTGTCTTAAAGGTACTAAATACATCTTTGAGCTTGCACGCTACGATACATATCATCGTGCTGCACGTTCAGGCCGCCAATACACTGACGACTGCAGCCAAATGAGTAAAACGGCGGAAACAACGTGGGGCGCCTCAATTTTCTACCAGGAATGGGACAATATGCTGGGCCAGAACGGTAGCTTCAGAGTTGGGGAAACCGCCGACTGGAGTGCCAGCCTTAATACTTTTTTTCCTTGTTTGTCTGACGAAGACTCAGCGGATGAAAATGCTGGCTTTCATCAATTTACCGGCTTGGTCAACAAGGTTGCGAAGCTTTTGGCACCTGAGAAGAATAGTACCGTCGTTGAAAGGGTTGAAACTAATCCTTGTGGAAATATCAAGCGGATAGAACCGCGGAACGTGCCGAAGAAGTCCTGGGCCCAAGTCGCTGGTTCGGGCCACATTTAATTCCCGTCATTTTTCCAGGTGGAATGCATGCAGCCATCGATTGTTGTTAATGACAAAAGCTGCTCCTAAAAAATATCACTCAAACGGCTCCTCTGTTTCGATGGTTAATATTTTGATTCCTCCTCCATTCATCCAATGATCTTGCTTTGATTTGCTGTCCATTTCCCCCCCACCCCTTCATAAAGTCATGAATTGCCCACTACCCAGAAGTGAACTGCGCAGAATCAAATCTTGTTCGTTAATTCCACCATTCTTTCATTCCTGAATACGCGAATTGGGGCCAGGTTGGGTCCAAGTTATCAAGAGTATTTTCGTTCTGGGGGTTGGGTTATTCGTTTACCTATGAGTAGCACGGAATACCCGGGGTAACCAAAAAAATTAAGGTATAATAACGTGTTGCTTCCCCAATTTTATTGTTTGGTTTGGTAATCCAGTAGCTAGCCGTTGGCGAGAACTCAGCTGCTTCTAATCCATCCTACGGTGAATGGGGAAGAACACGACCTAGCCTGATACTCTCTAAAAGGGAAAAGCGGAAATTGAAACCATAATGATGTAAAAACTTGTATTTGCGAAGTATACTTCCCAAGTATATACTTTCGATAGTCAAACCCAAGGGAGGGGTGATATCGGAGATAATAGTGTTCTCTGCTAGCAATTAGGAGTTACCACCACCTCCTGCGCCAGAGGGGCCTGCTGTAGCTTCACTAAGGAGTTTCTGACGGAGGACTGTTCGGCATGCTGTCAGATGTGGGTTACTTGTGGAAAGAGAGTGGGCCTCCAAACAAAAATATATAAATATATACTCACCGTCCTCAATAACGCGCAGATTTTGGCTCTTCGCTTGAACGACCTTCTCCAACTCTCGTAAGTTCGTACCTAGCTCGTCAACCTTGCCATTGTAGAATTCGATTGCCTTCGAGGTCGTCTACATCAGAAACAAGCAGTTAGTTTATTGTTGGACTGCAGCGAAGAGCTTTGCCCGAATCAATCGTCTCATCTTCACCTCACCTGGTAAACGCAAGGTAGAGTAAAATAAACATCAACAAGAGAAAAAGAGAAAAAGGAAAAAGGAAAAAGGAGCACAACCTTCTCCACAAAAAACCCCGTCCCAACATCTACAATCACATTTTTCCTATCCGCTAATCTCCCCTTAACATACAACGAGTTCGTCAAGGGAACCAAAATCTCATCGCTCTTTTCCGCAGCAACGCTTTTATTGCCCCCGCTGTAGCCCGCACCGCTAGGGGCTGCTACACCATCGTTTATCGAGCGGATGCAATCGCGGAACTTCGACTGTGCGTTTCGTAACTTTGCGTGGGAGCTTGTGAGATGTTCTAGCTCTGAGCTTAGGCGGGCTTGGAGGGCGCGGAGTTGGGGTGCAGAGAGGGCTGCAAGGTCGACTATAAAGGTTATTCAATAGGTTTCGAGTTAGCTGGCTGGAATTTGAAATGGGCTAAAGGCAATATTCATATATATATATATATATATTGTGTGGTAAATAACATTTTTCTGGAGGGAAGGGCTTTTGAATTGGGAATTGGGCACAATGTGATTTTTGGGCTGGACGAACTTGCTCCAGGAGGGGTTTCGCTGGACTCCTGCTCTGCGGAATGGTTTTGTGAGGACATCGTTCTTCGCTTGTTTTGGTAGACGGTATAGGAGGAGCAAGACACAAGCAGGAAAGATAGTCGATTAATTGTTTTTGGCGATATATGGTGGTTGGGTACGAGTATGTGTTGCAGACGCGGTATTACTAACATTTATGATTTTGCAAAGTTGCTAGTTGTGGAGAGGTTGACATCACCAAATCTATCAACAGGGAGCTATGGAGAGGAAGAATCAACAAGACCTTATACACACACACGAATCGATGAGTGCTCATGGCTTTTGTACGACATAATGCCAGATTCATTTTGTAGGGATAAAGTCTTTTTGAGATAATTTCAATTGTTGAGGAAAGCCATGTTAATATTGGGGTATAAATAAATACATGATAAATTCAAAGTTTCTGTGTTTCCCGAACAAACCCGATATATATAATACATTTTAATGAAATATCACAAGGGAATACTAGAGTCTATCAAGCAGCGATATAGTGAGTGGATGCAAATCTGGCAGCGATACCGTTTCCCGGAGATTGTTTAGTCGATGACACTGAACTTCCAGTTTGTTCTCCATCCTCCAGGACTTCCCCACGACGATTATTACAGGATACCCTATTAAATCGGCATCTCTGAGTTTCCATGCAAGATTCTTGTCTCTATCGTCAATTATCGCATCGACGGCATCGATATTTATTCGACTGATAGCGTCATAAACCTTTTCAGCTTCCTCCTCCAGGCCTTTATCCGGGATGATCATGGCCTCGAAGGGAGCAATTGCCCTTGGCCAGTTAAGCCCTTTGGAGTTGGCCAGGCTGTCCGCAATAGCGGATATCATGCGTGAAACACCAATGCCATGACATCCCATTTGAAGGGGAACAGAGACAGAACTGTTGTCGTTTGCTTTAGAGTCGTTGCTTAGCAATGTTGAAGGTACAGCCACAGAAGCGTTAAGCACTTTGCTATATCGAGTTCCAAGATGGAATGTATGCGCAAGCTCAATAGCAGTGTGGGTTTGTACCGCCTGTTCACCGCATCTGGAACATTGGTCTCCAGCCGCAGCACTTATGCAGTCGAGTTTTGCACCGCTACCAGGGTATTGGTGTAGGGATGAGAACCGCACATTCAGCTGCTCCAAAACTTCTCTGTTCTGCCCAGACGGGAGAGGAGGGTGATTGTAAACACGTACGCGATGGTCATAAATATCTAAAATCGTAGGATGATTTGGCCGAGTGCCAGGTGGGGTTTTCTCCTCTCTAGCTATACTTTGCCATTTTGCTAACGGACTAGTCACGCTGGTATCGAGATCTACCCCCGCTGAGCAGGCAATTGCCCTCACAGCATGTGAATTGATCTGCCGCTCAACTGGCTCTGAGCAGCCGCCACGTATCAGATACTTCGGATAGAATACTCTCACAAGAGTATTTCCATCCTTCGAGATACTCATCCACATGCCAGTTGAAATCGCTGGTGCTTGTTGCTCCCCGAACCCGACAGATTTACCATCTTGAATAGGATCCGAGGGCGGTCTAATGTCTTGGTATGCTTTTCCGTCCGAAAGCTCTTCATTGTATACATAGCGACAGCTTGAACAGCTAATGATGGTGTCCTCGCCTTTAGGATTTGGGAGATGAAATTCATGACTTAAATTTCCTCCCATGTTACCAGAGTCTGCAGTAGCAATAATGTAAGGTATCCTAAGCTCATCGAATAGTCGTACGTAGGTATCTTTAACTGCATTGTAAGTCTTTATTGCCATCTCGGCATTGTAGTCGAAAGTGTAAAGGTCTTTCATGATAAATTCTCTACCTCGAAGTAACCCCTGTCGGGGTCTCGGCTCATCTCGATACTTCCTACCTACCAATTAAACAAATATAGATTAGTAGCGGGTGATAATCCAACATTGGGAATACTCACTTATCTGGTACACTCGTAATGGAAGGTCCTTGTAGGAGTTCATAACACCCGCAACAAGCGAAGTAATTTCTTCCTCGTGGGTTGGAGCAAGAAGAAACCTGGCCTTTTTTCTATCTTGAAATTTAAAAAACTAACGCCGATATTTTTCAGTCAAGTATCCAGAAGTGGCTTTGAGTGTCATGTAATACCTCAGAATCTTTTTTCAGTCGACCAGATTTTTCCCATAAGGCTTGGGAAGATATAGAGGAGAGAGACAACTTTGAAGCGCCTTTTTATAGACGTAAACAAACGAACTGTCATTTATTGAACAAGTTGGATATCTCACCAAGCGTGCGCATGTGTTTATCCACCAGACGCTCCAGTTTCTCCTGAACCCGAAGTCCAAGGGGAAGCATATGAAATACCCCGGAATAAGCCTATCAAGGGGTAAGTGAAGGAAAACCGCAACTCAGAGGCACTGAATTTCACCTGGCGGAGAAAGCCACCCTGAACCAACAAATCACTTGTATCTGGAAAAGAAATGTTTAGTCTATGTCCTCAAAATCAGAGATATCATACCCATACCAGGACTGCCAGATTTTTTGGTTATTCCTCCCGTTGGAGTCCAGAACCGGGAAAGTCTACTTCTTCCATCACTCTACAACAAATTAGCTTGACAGGGAAGTTTCAAACCAACTAAGTCATTTTCGAATCGACATACATGTAATCTATGCTGAATGTACGAATATGACGAGAGAGGGGCCCGACGGAGATCTCTGACTCTTGAGAGAAATGAGTTGTTCATGGAAACTGGATTTAACGTGCACTTAATATTACAAATTCATAATATGGGTATACAAAGAATAAAAAGAAAAATTTAGAAGAAAATAGCTAGAAATAATAGTTCTATAAATTGAGTTCTAGTAGGGTTCTTGAATTGAGTGTTTTTTCTTCTTGTTGCCGGAGCTCGGAAAAACTATTCCCGAAAGAAGAAAAAATTATAATCTTACCATATGTACAGAAGGGGGAAATAACCTGCCAGTTCTGTGCGCTATTCAGCCACAGATATACAATGGGAAAGCCAAAGACAAAAGAAAGACGCTCCTCCGCAAATGGCGTGCCGAATACAGCTTCGGAAATACCTGCAAACCCCCTCACTCCCAATGCAGATTCGCTTCCCGACCTCTCTGTCAGCGTCCTCGCCAAATTGAAGAAGCGTATTGAACAAGGTTTCCAAGACCAGAAACCTCAGTCAAAAAAGGATAAAAAGGTGTCTGTGAGTGAATTGAAACAGAAGACAAATGCAGGCCCGCAATCAGAGCCTAAGGCCGTCAACAAAAAAGGGAAGAAACGGGACAGGAACGGGGAAATAATAGCTCCTCAAGAAGGCAAGGAAAAGCCAAGGTCCAAATTTGACGAAAGAGGAGAAAATAGAAACTTATTGGAAAATGAAATATACGCTATCGGCGGAACTAAGGAGGACTATGATCTCCTTGCTGATGTCGAATCCGATTCGGAGATGGAAATCTTTGAGGATACCCCAGGGAAATACAATGCGAAGGCGGCTAATGAACATACTCTGCGCAATGACATAGAAAAGATGCTGAAAGTGGATAATCCGTCTCCAGCTCCAAAACCTGAAAGTAAGAAGGCTGTGGTTGCGGATATTGTCCCCATTGATCCCAAGCCAGCAAAGGAATCCAAGTCACTCCAGCAGGTCAAGCCATCAAAGGAAGCCCCAAAGCAAAATACTCTGAAGAAGCCAAACCCGAATCAGGAGGTCTCCGTCCCTAGAAAGCTAGCGCAGCAGCGCGATACACGATCATCCAACTTGGTTAGCTTTTATTGCCCTTTTCTCTCTAATCTGGCTCAGAACTAATCTGATAAAGGCTATCGACCCTCGACCAGATTGGTATTCCATACCTTTGCCCGAAGTCTCTCTCGAATCGAAAAAGTGTAGCGGCATCTCCCGACAGATCTGGGATCGTATTCGAGAATATGCTGCATCGTTACTTGATTCGGAAAACCAAGCCTTTGCAACTTCACAACAATCCTCCTCGTCCCATAAATTCTATTCCACGATCGTTTCCTCTGGGACCTTGAGTGATAAAGTATCGGCGTTAACACTTGCGGTACAAGAGTCACCTCTACACAATGTAAAAGCACTGGAGAACCTTATTGGACTGGCTAAAAAACGAAGCCGAGCTCAAGCTATTGAGGTTCTCAGATCTCTAAAAGATATATTTGCCCAAGGCACCCTTCTCCCCAGCGATCGGAGACTAAAATCACTTATCAATCAACCGGCGTTGCTGTCTGCCTTCGACGGTGTTTCAAGTAACTGGACGTCTTCCAACCCCTTACCAAACGGGTTGGAGCGCAGCCACCTCATTGTTTGGGCTTTCGAGGACTTTCTAAAGGAGCAATACTTTGAGGTACTGAAAATCCTCGAAATTTGGTGTAACGATGAAATCGAGTTTTCAAGATCCAAGGCAGTAAGCTACGTTTACGAGCTTCTGAAAGAGAAGCCGGAACAGGAATCCAATTTGCTACGCCTCCTGGTCAATAAGCTTGGCGATCCAAACAAAAAGATAGCTTCACGGACGTCCTATCTTCTACTTCAACTTGAGCAGGCTCATCCCCTAATGAAGCCAACCATAATATCAGCTGTCGAATCCAACATTCTTTTCCGCCCAGGGCAAAGCCAGCACGCCAAGTATTATGCAATTATCACACTCAATCAGACCATCTTGAGAAGTGGCGAAGAAAATGTGGCAACGAAACTTCTCGATATCTATTTTGCTCTTTTCGTTACTCTATTGAAGCCAACCAAGAGTTCGACCAGTAACTCCGAACGTAAGCATGGGAAACACGATGCAAAATCTAAAAAGCGACATGGTGGCGCTACGATCCCAAAAGGCCAGGCTCAGGAAACTGAGTTGCATGAGAAGTTGACTGCTGCTGTTTTGACTGGAGTCAATCGAGCTTATCCGTTTACTAGCTCTGATGTCGAAAAGTAAGATATCCGAAATCCTGCTCTCTTTGAGCATTGATGTTAACCCGCCCTTTCTACTCGCAGACTTTCGAAGCATATTGACACCTTATTCCGTATCACTCATTCCTCAAATTTCAACACGAGTATCCAAGCCTTGGTGCTTATCCAGCAGCTGTCGTCGTCTCACCAAGTGTCGTTGCATCGATTTTATCGAACGTTATACGAGTCCCTACTCGACCCCCGACTGTCTACATCCTCGAAGCAATCGATGTACTTAAATCTCTTATATAAATCGCTAAAGGCTGACTTCAACGCTAAACGAGTTAAGGCTTTCGTGAAAAGACTAGTTCAAACCCTATCACTACATCACCCACCTTTCATTTGCGGGGTATTTTATTTGATAAGGGAACTTGAAAAGGCTTTCCCCAACCTGTCTGCCCTCATGGACGAGCGAGAGAACATCGAAGACGACGATGAGGAGGTTTTCAGAGATGTTCCCGAGGACGGAGAACAACCTGCTGACCAGACGCCAGTGGATGAAGGGAAGAAAGTTGAAAATAGATACGACCCTCGTAAAAGAGACCCCGAACATAGCAATGCCGATAGAAGTTGTCTCTGGGAACTAGTAAGTAGTCCTAATTTCGTTCCCAAATTCCTTGATGATTGTCGCTAATAAACAATATAGCTGCCTTACCTTGCTCATTTCCATCCTTCCGTGTCTGTCAATGCTTCGCATCTACTGTACCACGAACCGATATCTGGCAAGCCGGATCTCTCTATTCATACTCTTACACATTTCTTAGACCGATTCGTCTATCGCAATCCCAAGGCGACTCCCAGTATGAGAGGAGCTTCCATTATGCAACCGCTCGCTGGAGGCGAAAGTAAAGGCTTATTAATCACATCTGGAGGAATGGCCAAAGCCCATGGACCAGTGAACAGGGAAGAATTCTGGAAAAAGCAAAGCGACGAAGTCGCTGCTGAGGATGTCTTTTTCCACGAATATTTCAATCGCATGGAAAAGGATAACCTGCGCAAACAGAAGTCGAAAAAGAAGCCAGGTGCGCGAGACAAGGGTGGGGATGAGAGCGATGCTGAGTCGGAGATTTGGAAGGCTCTTGTTCATTCTCGACCGGAACTTGAGGGCGAGGGTGAGAGTGAGGATGGTATCGACATTGATGATTTGGCATCCGCCATGGGCGATGAAGATGATGGGCTTGGTGACGTTGAAATGGGTGATATGGAAAGCCTTGATGACGACGAGGAAGCAGAGGTAATATTTAACGATGAGAGTGATGAGCCAGAGGTTGAGGTGGAGCAAAGTGGAAGGGATGCGGCACAGGATATTGACAGTTTCGGGGGCTTTATGGATGAAGATGCGTTTGAAATGGACGTCTCAGATGAAGACGCGTTCCGAGGTAGTGACGATGATTTGCCTTCTGATCTGGACAATGGGGTTGAAGAGCTACTCGCTGAAACTTCGGGTAAAGGAAGCAAATCTACGAGTAGACAGAAGAGGAAGAAACTCAAGCATCTTCCTGTTTTCGCGTCTGTGGATGATTACGCTGCCTTACTGGCGGATGAAAACCCGGATGATGGTGTATGATATCCTTATACCATTTCCTTGGGTGCGCTATGCATGTTGGTGGTTGGAATGCTATGATAGATAGACCCTTGAAATTTTTGAACAATTGCTATTATTTTAAATTACATTTGAATGTATTAGCAGCAATGCATTCCAAGTGCTGAAGGAGTTGGGTGTAGATACAATGTCAAGCTATTGAAATCGACTCTTATAGTATTAATAATCTCCCTGTTTGAAGTAACCATGTTTGTGAGCAGGGGCCCCAAAACATGTTTTAAACAAAGAGGGAGCAAAATTGTACTTAAACTGTAGTAGCGACTCCTGGAAGTACAGCCATCATCTGAATAAGAATTTGTGAAAGGCGAGCCCTACCAGAATCGAGTCAACATAACCCTCCTAGTGTAAGCCCAGGAAAACCCAACTCATGTTGTAAGTGCTTAGAAAGTAGTCCATCTCTTCCCCCAATTTCAGACAGACTACAACTCCCTCCGTCATCCAATTCTTTTTGCCGCAACCGGTCTTTAATTACTACACAAGCTTCACCCCATGCAGCGCAGGTACCCGCTAGTCCTTCAAAAATGCTATAAGGAGTATCCGTCATGCGAAATTCACATTCGTCACGGAATTCACGGCGATGGAAAGGTGGCGTTTTTCGTGCGTAGAGTAATAACGTCAACGCCCTAGACAGGAAATAATCTGGTGTGAGTTGCTCCTCTACAGAAGCGACTGAGCCGGTTCTCTCTTTGAACGAGCGCCTCGCTAATGCGATGCGTTCCTTCCCGTACTCAAAGCTGTTGTATAATAATAAAAAAGGCCACGCATTCCCGGCGATGCCGTGGCATAATCCTCCCCCTTTGAATAGTAACCCGCGTTCCCACACTTGCTCACTTCCAAGCCGGATTGCTTTATCCCAGTCTGGTTCCCAAAATGACTGCATTAGGTGGGTGTTGTTCTCCGCTTGGGCCAGCAGGATTAGGAGACCTGGGGAGCCATGGCAGATTTGTACATAAGGATCATGACGGGAAGATGAACGGATGGGAACCGAGGATGGGAGATTGCCAGCGTTTTCGATAGTAAGCTTGCAGAGCCCACTTATAGTTTCAGCAATAATAGGTAGGTGGTTAATGGTGCCATCGTTAAGTTCATCAGGCTTGCAGGCGAGAAGGATGGATAAAATACCAGCTATATCCATGTTATGCTACTTTTCTCCTACCAGACTGGGGAGACTGCTTACCTATCCCATGGATTCTGCATGGATAAAAAGAAGTCAAGGCCGGATGTACCGTTTAGAGTGGAAGGAAAATCGGAAGAAACTCACGCTCCGAGATAGTATTTACCATGCCATGGCCACATAAGAGATAGGGTATCCTGCCCTCCGTATAAATCATTGTAATCACTAGCACCCACCTTCCCTGTCTCTATGATAACAGTTGCAAGCCTTGGGATCATTGTGAAAGCGGCGGTGAAAGCGGCAGTGTTTCCATCGTCCTTGCATTGTTGTCGAATCTGCAAAAGCGCCAGCAATAGGCCAGCACGTCCGTATAATGGTTCATCACCACCTACATTCGTTCCCTGCTTGATCGCGAACTCAGTAGCACGTTGGAGAGTGCTAACGTCACGGGAAGGCACCTTTTGCCTAGTAGGTCGAGCCAAACCAGCAAAGATTCGGAGCACGGAAGCACCAAGAGATGCTGATCCAAGCGGTGATAATCGGCCAGGCCTCAAGGGAATGTCCTCTGGAACACTATAGCTAATTCTTGAACAGGCCAGCTCGTGGAATTCAGATGCCAGATGCAGAATTTCATCGCCGTCCTCAACATAACTCGCTTGTTGCTCAAGGCGGAGAAACATAAGAGCAACTCCGATTGGCAAAGTTGAACTCCAACTACTTCCTGTGCAATGATAAGATCGTATAGACACATACCAAGAATCCCATTGTATATAGTGCCAGGCGCAATTGTATTCTCGGGAAGGGATCCAGGGACTTTTTCCTTGAGAATACCGGTGGCCCGCTTTACGGCCCCTTGCAGCTTGTGAAGCACTTGCTGCAGCGTCCCATCGTCTAAGGTGACAAGTTCAAGCTGATTTCTATAATACTGTAGAGACATAATAAATGACAAGCTGAAACGGAGGTTTTTCGTAATAACCTGATGTTATTTCCTCATGCATCTGCTGCTGTTGAACCTTGAAATACATTGCTTTGAAGGAGCGTTAGCCATAGCAGTGACATCACTCGCGATGCGAAGGCGCTATATAAGCGGCTGAATTAAAGTTTCTTAGTCATGCAACCTCCGAGAAGCAATTTCCATCGCGTCTGCCAATCATCTTTGCTCCAAGATCCAAGAAATCCCATAAATAGTACCACTGGGCCGCGAATTCACGGTCGAACGAGGGGATCAGACTAAGAACAATCATATTCAGATGGAGTCAACAGAGGCCAGCCGAGCTAAATTGTTTGGCATGCAGCCATCCGCCCACAATGCCCTACAAAACAGCACGCACTCCCAGTGCGGGAGCGCAAATTGCCAGGCATATAATTTTGCATTTGAGATGCTGTTGCAGTGCAATTAGCTGCTTTGATATAGCTAGTTCCCTCAAACCCCGCTATGGAGGGCGTCAAATACGATGGACAAGATATCGAGCAGATGTGGAGGGAAGCGTTGGTTGAATTCCATAAGCTCAGTGGCCACGATCCTAAGAAGTTTTCCGAACTCAGCATCGGCGACGTGATCGGAAAGATCAACCAGCAGAAGGAACTCGACGACAAGAGAGCTGCAAAATATGGCAAGGCAAAGGAAGTTCTGAATAAGACCCTAACCTGCATTCAGACACTAGGAAGTCTTGTAGCCCAAGGCGCGTCGATGGTATGCAGATCTAGCTCATTGGCCATATTAACATCAGTGCTTCAATTTGGAAAACCGTCTCTAATTTACCACCTTCATCTCCAAGGTGTTTGGTCCGTCCGGTCTCTGTTTTAATGCCGTTTCATATCTTATTACTGTTGCCCAGAATTACAGCAAGATCTTTAGTGGAATTGCCGAACTCTTCGAACGCATCTCTCACTTCCTCGAGCGTTTCGAAGTCTACGTGAGGTCAAAGTCCTTGGGTGTCGAACTGGATATTCACCTAAGAAAAATAATTCACGAACTTCTCCGGAGTTTCATGCGGATCTGTGCTTTATCGATAAAGATTTCGAGGGAAAATAAATTATTGCTAGCTTTGGAGGTCTTCAGCTTCGGAAGCGACAAGGGCGTCCAGGCAGAACTCGATGTTCTCGAGGCGCTTGTGAAACGTGAAACCGGAATGGGCGTTGCCTTGACACTAGAATCTGCGAAAATTACAGAGGGAAATGTCACCACTGGATTTGCAGAAACAAAAGGATCGTTGCAAAGCCTGAATAGTAAGGTTGATGGCGTGACTGGGCAACTTAGCCGGGTTTCGAATTTTCTGGAGCAGCGGGAGTTTACCGAAAGAATGAACGAAACCGACAGAGCGTCTACGCGGAATAGTGAGAAATAAACACGCGCTCAGATCGAGAAAGAGGTTTGGCGTACGATC